CGTTCTCCGACTACCATTTATCCAGATCGCTTCAAAACAGTATAGATAGTAAAAATTTTCCATGGAAAACTGCAAAAATCACCTGAATTAGTTCTCTAGCCAGAAACCTCAGAACTATCAGTATGGAATTATGTAGCTACTGGAGAGATGCAGGAAGGCCATCGAACAGAACGGCTATTATATTGATTAAATATAATCAATATACTTTTAGTAAATCAAATTTTTCTGCAAATTTTTGTCAGAAAACGGGACGAACGGGACAAGCTTATAAAATGCTTTTAATCTGTGTTTGAAAAAGAAGCTGTATGCCTTACAATTGCCGTGTCGAGACTATGAAAGTTCTTCTGTTCAAGAGTGTAGAAATCAATATGGTGTTTTTAGTTATATTCGACATTCAACATTAGTGATATTGTGTTATTTTGGCCTATCTTGCTAAAATTACAAAATTACTTTAAAAGTGATGTATAAAGAATTCAATGGAATGGTATTATTTAGGTATACGATGTATATATATATATTACGACGTATATATATATATATATTAAAATTTTAGCACCGTGTTAAAATTTTATAATTTTATTTGAATGTTCATTAAAATCCTTCAAAGTGTTCATATTGTTTAACAACAGGGATAACACGACATAAGTGAAACAGTAAATGCAAGTCAATTCAGTCTCTCAGTGACATCATCATTGTGATATAAGACATGCATGTTTTAAAGGCCTGAAAATAATATTCATAAATAATTATAAATATTACATAATATAGTAACAAAAGCTTTTTGTTTTATATTTCAAAAGCATTATGTAAAAGAATTTTAGTTTTAATTTAATAAAATGCGAAAGGAGACACTATGATAAAATTCTTTAACATGTTGCTTATAATATAAAATGAAAAGATTTATTTGGATCTTTCCTGTACTAGTTTGAATAATAATGCTGAATAATAGACTGTCACTTACTATTCCGAAATTTTCTATATTCATGTCGTACAATCCACCCGCAGTCAACGAACAGAGTTTCTTGCACCTTATTTGCATTACGTACAGTAATTTTTGAATTTTCACCGGTATGGCGTACCATGCAGAGTTGTATCTGTCTTGATATGTGTAATGAACTTTATTCGAGTCTTTAATTGGTATCTCTGTTTTATATAAATGAATTAATTACATACGTACATATTGGCTGCTAAACTATGACAATTATCTAGTAGCACCTGGCCAGGCAAACTGAGTAAGAATAAGTGAAATTGGCTTGCACCACAAAATAAAGCACTTCGCATTGCTTCTTCTGGTTTATTTATATTTATCACTGTCTGAAGAATAAAATAAGACAAAGCAGTTACGCAGAATTATTTTTAATGTTTATTTCTTATTATTTGCAAGATTTCTTTTACTTGAACAGCTGTAGCACTCATACCCAACATGTTCAATCCAACTTGAATCAAGTAACTACCTTGGCTGCATTCGTTCAGTAAATTGTAATATCTTCAAATATAACGTCAGTTATTAAATATTCTATAAATATTTTATTTTCTTTTTTTTCTAAAACTCTGTCTTTAATTGAAAAAAATCATACCGTATAGCTTCTTTGTGCATAAGTATGCAAGCTCTGAATTTCTTATATCTCTCATTCTCCACAAGGATTCCATAACTAGAGTAATTTGGATTCGCGGTTACTTTTTGGACTTGATATCTATATTCATGGTAGGAATTGATGAGTTTAAATTTATCATAAATTCAATGATTTATTGGTGCATATTAAAGTGACTAATAGTAATCTATATTTCGCAGAACTTTATCATATTTACCCACAGACCGCAAATAATCCACTGTTATGGTGAATTATTAATATGTATAACCAGTCTGCGCCAACTGCGGTGAATACAACAACTATTGCTCCCCACAATAAATGTAAATACACGCAAAAGTAATAGTCATCGTTGTTAAAAAATATATAATTAACTCTAAGTAGTTGTTGCCGTGCTCGAGTTTCATTTAATGGATGGATGATATCCAAAATGGGAGAAATTAGTGGGATCAATAAAAATAGTATGAAAAAGCTTACTAAAGTATCTGGAGAGAACACGATTGATTATTTATGTGTAAATAATTTTACGTATGCTGTTTACTTTTAGAAGTATTAAAAATATTTGAAATAACATTGAGATTTTGAGCATATTTATTTACTTTGATAAAATTGTGCCAATCTGTTGCCTTGTATGACGGTTTCTTCTAAAACATGCAATTCGCCTTTTAATTTCAGTTCTTTCCATTGTTTTGCTATCATTTGGTATAATTTATTAAACTTCAAAATAATAAGATTTTTCTAAGTTTGTACAGCTGTGAATTTCTTATAAAATATAAAAGAAATTTTACTCACATTTCGCCTGTTGAAATTTATATTCAATATTTTAACAATGGTGATTGCAGTTGCAATAGAATGTGGTAAACACTCAAACACTCCATCGATGTCTTTGTTACACAACGACACATATATTTCTATTGTCTAAAAAAATTGCAAATCACAATTGTTTACTAACATTATCTTACTACTGATTTTATTACGTAATATTTATCCAGTCCAATTTTTCCATATTATCTATACTAGATTTCTAAAAATTCATTGATATATATTTTCTTTACCGCTGGAAAAAAGATGCTCGCAATACTAGTTACCACTATAATTACAATGATATTTCTAGTGCTAGTTTTGTGATGTGGATCTTGTCCCAATATTTGCATGTACTTCGCAATCATCTTATAATAAGGCACATGAAATATTTCCAAAGTTTTGGTTTCCTGAAACACTACGTACTTCGAGATTAGTTCGCGAATCAAATTCCACTAAGTATCATAAAAGTAGACAGTAATATCAAGTAGACCGCGAATTTTTATATTTATTTTCGAGAAATGAATTGAAAAACACGTGTAGAATGCACATAAAATGCAAAAATAAATTTCTTTCTAAATTCGTCTTTTTTTTAGTTATGTTTGAAAAAATAAAAATTTGCATAGACATCCGCAGTTACATTATAAGTATGCAGAGCGTTCAATTTTGATATCTCCTTCTCTTACTATTCATATCTTCAAGTTTTCAAGACGCCAAAAATTTAGTTAATACATCCGTTAGTTTCTGAGAGAAGCCGTGTAACTTGTAAAATTGTATCCAGAACTTTTTTTTATGAATGCAAAACTCAACATAACGCTTGTAGTTATATTCGACGTTTGATATTATCAGAAATATATTATTTTAGTCACATATACTGTCAGTCAATTTGTTGACATTTAAGTACTATAGAATAAATTTGTGTGATGTCATTGTCCATAAGAAAATGATGGAAGCAATAGTTTACGGGATATGGAAGTTCTGTCCTTACAAGGGAACATACCAAAGTCAGAATTCATTTATCGATTTTAAAATTTGGTAAATGAATCTAGTTTTCAAAAAAATATTCGACCCGTATTTTTTTTTTATCGGCAATAGTTGATGTTGAAAGAGTGAAAACTCAAAGTGCGAAACATATTTTGTTAAATATCTTGGAAATTATTGAAGACATCGTTTTGTATACATTGATGAAATTAGTGTTTTTTAACGACAAATTTAATGGTGTATACCGTTTTGCAAAAACAGTGTATTAAGAAACGTATTTTTGATAAGTTTTTCCAAGTAAATATTAACAAATTTTCTTGAATATTTGTTTATGAATACTATATATTCAAACACGCAATACAGATAAAATAAAATCTTGATTTTTTTATTATAAAAAAATTCATTTTCAAATCTTTCTCGCTGAACGTGCAAAGCAGGCCGTCCAATCTGGAATTGTTCTCTGTTCGTAAATATGTTTTAAAATGTTAAATATTAATATATTTTAGACCTGATAAAGGCTGATTTTATTGTTCAGTATTTACTGCTTTTTTTAAGTAGATACGTTCAAGACATGTTCAATCAATGTAATCTTCGCAGTAGTGGTACTCCTCGAAGTAGTATAAGCACAAATGTTTTTTACATCACGAACATTTCGAGACAACTTCATCACAGTCAAAACAATATGTAATTTTTAATTGCAAATCCGTGAAGCAAAACTTCACTGGATTTTCGAATACTTGTGGCTTAATACCTATGTAACCACATTTAAACCACGCGTATTTAAACATTTCTTTATATTTCGGGGAGGATAATTCATTGTGGATTAGTGTTTTTAATTTTATGATATTATTTCGGATATGTAAGTTGAGATTAATATTTTAATTGATTGTTAAATCCAAAATTTTCCTCGCAAAATTTACCTTATAGCCGATTGATTTTATTTTGCTGAAATTATAAAATTACTTTAAAATTAATATATCATTCCTGGGGAGAATGATATTATTTAAGTATAGTAAGGATGTGTACTATAATATATTAAAATATAAGTACGGCATTGATATATGATTTTATAACTTTATTTGCATGTCAAATTCGTGCAAGATGTTCAATATTTCATGTTGTCTGTTTGTCATCCTAGTTATATTTTTGATAAAATAGGGGAACTTTGGATGACATTACATTGGTGAAATTAGTAAATTTAGTCTCTCAGCGACATCATCATTGTGATATACGATATGCATGTTTTGAAAGTCTGGAAATGATAATATTGATAAATAGTAAATATATTTTATTTTGTATTTCAAAAGCTATTTAAAACAATTTTAATTTCAATACAATTTAATATAGAAATAGAAAATGTAAAAGAAGACAGCAAGAGAAATAAAATTCTTTACGATATAAAATTTGTCGCGTATAAAATGAAACATTTGTCTGCATTTTTGATATATCATTGTTTTTACGTTAATAATATTAGAATGATACTTACTATCCCGAAATTTTCTATATTCATTTCATAGAGTCCACCTGCTGACAACGAACAGACCTTTTTGCACCTTATTTGCATTACGTATAGTAATTTTTGAATCTTCACTGGTGTGTTGTACCATGCAGAGGCGTATCTGTTTTAATACGAGTAACGAATTTTATTTGAGGCGATGATTAATGTCCTTATTTTATACAGATCACATACATATCATCTGTTAAATTAAAACAATTGTCCAGTAACACCTGGCCAGGTAAACTTAATAAAAATAAATGAAATTGATTAGCTCCACAAAATACAGCACTTCGCATTGCTTCTTCCGGTTTATTAAAGTTTAATGCCGTCTGAAAAATAGAATAAAGCTATTAATCAGCTAGAGTTATTTTTAATTTTGTATGTATGTTGATATTTGCGAGGTTCTGTTTACTTTAACAGCCGTCGTGCTTATGCTCAACATACTCAATCCGATTTGAAACATATAACTCCGTTGACTGGATTCGTTCAGTATATTGAAAAATCTTTTAACATAACGAAAACGTAAATTAGTCAAATTCAGTAATTATTTTCTTTTTGTTAAGTGAATTCTATCGTTTATCACGTAAATACATAGAATATCGTAAATACATACATACCTTATAGCTTCCTTGTGGATACGTATGCAATTTCGAAAGTTTTCATACATGTTATTCTCCAAAACACGTTCATCAGTAAAATAATTTAGATTCGTGGTTGCTTTCTGGACTTGATGCCTATATTTATGATTAATTAATTAATTAATTGATTAATCATAAATATACTAGGCACTCTAAATATAGGCTAATCATTAATTAAATTAATGAAATAATAATGGAATAATATTGTATATTGAAGAGTGATTAACAATATTATACACATACATAATCTATGAATATTACGATATTTACCCACACACTGCAAATAATCCACTGCTATGATGTATTATTAGCATATATATCCAGTCTGCACCAACTACAGTGACTAAAACAATGATTGCACCCCACGATAAGTGCAAATACACGTAAAAAAAATAATCATCGTTGTTAAAAAATATGTAATTAACTCTAAGTAGTTGTTGTCGTGTTCGAGTTTCATTTAATGGATGGATGATATCCAGAACGGGAGAAATTAGAGGGATCAGCAAGAACAGTGAGAAAAAAATTAATAAGGTATCTAGAGAAATTAAAATTGATTATTAGTGTGTAACATTATTATTTACTTTCAGAAATATTAAAAAGTATTAAAAATATTTACTCACGTTGATAAAATTGTGCTATTTTGTTGCCTTGCATGACAATCTCTTCTAGAACGTGCAATTCGCCGTTTAATTTCAACTGCACCCATTGTTTCGCCACCATTTGGTATAATTTGTTAAACTACAAAATAATAAGTTCCTTCTAAATCTGTGCAGCCGAGAATTTCTTGTTGTAAAACAATGTCGCTCACATTTTGCCTGTTGAAATGCATATTCAATATTTTAACGCAGGTGATTGAAGTTGCGATGATCTGTGGTAGACACTCAAGCACTCCATCAATGTCCTTGTTACGCAACGACGCATATATTTCTATTGTCTAAAAAATTTGCAAGTTATAATTGTTCACTAACATTAGCTTACTATTGATTTTATGACGTAATATTTATCCAATTCAATTTCTTCATTTTATCTATGCTAGATTTCTAAAAACTCATTGATATATATTGTTTTTACCGTTGGAAAAAAGATGCTTGCAACACTAGCTACCATTATAATTACAATGATATTTCTAGTGCTAGTTTTGTGATGTGGATCTTGTCCCAATATTTGCATGTACCTCGCAACCGTCTTATAGTAAGGTACATGAAATATTTCAAAATTTTTCTGAAACGCTAAGTATTTCGCGATCAGGTTCCATAAAAATAAACAATACCACAGAAGCACAAACAATAAAATATTATAGTAATATTACTAGTAGACTGCGGATTTGTATGTTCATTTTCAAGATATTAATAAATAAAAAAGGTAGAATGTGTATAATGTACAAAAATATAGAAAATAGTATAATAATAAAGTAATATAATAGTATAATATAAAAGTATTATAATAATAGTATAATATTATAAATATGGACTGTATAAAATAGGTAAAATTTTTTTCCATCTTTTCTTTTTCTTCCAAAGTTATGTTTATAAAGATATAAATTTGCGTAGATATCCACACTCAAATCATCAGTGTATAGAAAATTAAAATTTTTCAATTTTGATATCTCTTTCTCTTACTATTCATATCCTCAGATTTTCAGAACGCCAAGAATTTTAACTAGCGCATTCGTTTTAGAGAACACAAATAAGCTGTGTGTCTTGAAATTGTTATACCCAGACTGTGACAATATTTTTAGATAGGAACATTTTTAGCAGAAATCGCAGGAATTTGTAGTTATATTCTACATTTGATATTATTGGACATGTGTTATTTTGATCATTATGGTATGTTACTTTGATGATTTATCGACAATTAAATGATTCTTCGTTCATAAGAAAATAATGGTGTAGGTATATGGAACGTTTGTTAGCTTGAAATATTCATAATGTGTGTGTAATTCAGTATTGATTGTAACAGACAATCGTGACTTTTGTAAGACATTGACATTTATTTAGGTTGTATGCCAGCATTAGTATTAATCGAGGATTCAATCGAGAAACATTGTTTGCATTTTTCAAAGAATTTTTTGCTATTTTTCCGTACTGTCGGTTGATTTTACCTTTCTAAAAATTAATTTTAAAATGATATACAAAAAATTCAATCAAAGAATTTATTAAAACTCAATTTATTAAAAAAAAATTAGTATTACTTAGGTAGGGTGTATATATTAAAATATTAACACTGCTTAAAAACTGTGTAGTTTTATATTTTTATTTGCACGTTCGTTAAACTCGTTCAGAATACTCATTATTATATATTGACTATTTATCATACTATGTATTCTTGACAAGTTGGATATGAAATATGTGATGATCGTGACAATATATGTTTTCGACAACTAATGCGAATTCAATCTTTCAGTGACATCAACATTGTGATATAGGACATGCATGTTTTGAAAGTCTGAAAAGGAAAATAACTGATAATATGATATACGTAAATATATAGTGGCAAAAGTTTTCCATTTTATATTTTCAAAGCGATATTTAAAGAAATTTTAACTGAAATTTAATGCATGGATAAAGGAGGCAGACCAGAATAGTAGAACGTATTATATAAATTTCTTTAAAATATCGTTTGTCGAGCATAAAACAAAATATTTATTTGATGCTTTTGCATATTTGTTCAGTAGCGTTAGGCTAATACTTACTATACCGAAATTTTCTACGTTCATTTCGTATAGTCCACCTGCCGTTAATGAGCAGAGTTTTTTGCATCTTATTTGCATTACATATAATAATTTTTGAATTTGCACGGGTGTTCTGTACCACGTAGAACTATATCTGCTTCCATATGAGTGATAAATTTTAATAGAGTCTATGATTGATATTTGTATTTTATATGGATATGTATTTTATACGAAACACATACATATTATTTGCTAAATCAGAACAGTGATCTAAAAGCACCTGGCTAGGTAAGCTGAGTAGAAATAAGTGAAATTGATTAGCTCCGCAAAATAAAGCACTTCGCATTGCTTCTTCAGGTCTGTCTAAATTTACAACTGTCTGAAAATTAAATTAATACCATTAATTAGCTAGAATTATTTTTAATTTACTTCTGTTCTCATTTATAAGACTGCTTTTACTTGTACTGCTGTCGCGCTTATACCCAACATATTCAGTCCAACTTGAATCAAGTAACTGCCCTGACTGCACTCGTTCAGTATATTGCAAAATCTTTAAATAATTAATCATTTAAGAAAACGTGTTCATTTATTTTAATCATTTGTAATTATTTAATCGTCACATACCGTATAGCTTCATTGTGCATCATCACGCAATTTCGAAACGTTTCATATGTATAATTCTGCGAAATATTTTCCCCAGTAAAGTAACTCGGATTCATTGTTACTTTCTGAACTTGGTGTCTATATTTTATGACGAAATGAGAATCTTCATATTCATGAGAAAAGTAACAATCGTAATATTTATTAGTGAATATGATAATGGACATTTACCCACACACCGCAAACAGTCCACTGTTGTGATGAATTATTAACATGTATAACCAATCTGCACCGATTACAGTGAACACAACAATAATTGCACCCCAAAATAATTGTAAATATACGTAAAAAAAATAATCATCGTCGTTAAAAAATATGTAGTTAACCCGAAGTAACTGTTGCCGTGGTCGAGTTTGATTTAGGGGATGAACGATGTCCAGAATTGGGGAAATTAGCGGTACCATTAAAAATAATGCCGTGAAGGACACTATGATGTCTGAAAAGTATACATGGATACAATCAAATATGTACTTCTCTGTAAAATACAGAGAATACTTTACTATTAAATGTGACTTTTTTTTTTACAGTAAAACATATTTGATTTAATTAGCAATAAGTTTAATAGGGATATAATTTGTAATATTTAATAAAAATCTACACTTTAACATTTTACATATATATGTATATCTTAGTTTACATTCATTACTATGATAATTTTTAAAAATAATAGTTGAATTAAAAGCATTACTTACTTTTGTACAATTGCGCTATTTTGTTGCCGTTCATAACGGTTTCGTCCAGAATATCTAACTCATTGTTTAATTTCAGTTGTTGCCAATCTTTCGCCACACGTTGAAACAATTTGAGAAACTATAAAATAATATGCGTATTTATAAACTTTTCTTTTAAATCGTTTCGTTGTATTACAAGATTTACGTACATTTTCTCTATTAAAATGCATATTCAACACCTTAACGAAACTGATCGATGATGCAATAAAATGTGGCAGGCACTCAATCACCGCGTCCATATCCTTGTTATATAATGATGTAAATAACTCTAACGTCTAATAATTTTAGATCCAAATAATTTAATATCATTATTTGATTTTTTTTTTTATTTATTTGATTCGCTTATTTGCTTACTCTATTCATCCAATTCTTCGTTTCATCTACATTTTCATTATAAAATAATTGGTATATATTTTTCTTACCGTTGGAATAAGAATGCTCACAATACTAATCACGACTATAGTTAGAATAGTATTTCTGAACTTCTTCTTTTGACGTGGGTCTTGTCCCAAAAGTTGCAAATATCTCTCGAGTATTTTATAATAAGGAATATCAAATATATCGAAAAGATGACTTTCAGTTTCCTGAAATACTGAATGAGCTAAGCTTGTATTGGTTAGCATTAACCCGGGATTACCCACGTGGGGGTCTAGTCGCCGGGATGTACCTGCGCTAATCCCGGATTAAATATCATTTTCAGTATCAATAAGAATATAATTAACGTAATTTTAATTCCATTAACCATGCTGCGGCCTGCCAATTTTTTTGTCTCGACTTTAATTTGAATTCGGAGAAAAAGTCTTTTGCAATGTTTTAAAATAATATTTAACATAAAACTGATATCAGAAATCATGCATATCAATAACTACGGTGGCTCATGAAAGTATTTGGACATTCGCTATAAATAATATTTATCATATATAGAATTTCATATTTTATGTAAAATATTATATATAAAATAATTATCATATATAATTTAATAATTGACTAATTAATATTATCATATATAATTTATTAAATATCATATATAAAATATTTGAAATTTCACTAATATATGTATTGACGAAAATACTTTCAGAGTCACTGTATTCTTTTATATTTCCTTCAAAAATAAAATATTAAAGATATACAATAAAAAAAAGGAAATATAATTTAATAGAAAATGATCCAAGAAATACTATTTTTTCTTACTATCCATATTCTTTATTTTTCAGAACAGCGACCAATATGAAGACGATTGAATATAATACAGTTGCCACATCGAAAGTATAGAACTTGTTTGTAGAGCTATGGAAATCAATCTGATGAACGCAGTTACACTCTATACTTCACATCGCTGGAAATATATATGTAATTGCAGTGACAACAATAAGTATTGTTGCAAATCATCTGGTTACCAGACAGGTATGTATCGTTGAATAATTTTAATATGCATTGTATGATAAGATAATGACAATATGACGATTGCTGTGAATATCTGCCAACAACCAATCTGTTGCCAAGTATGTTGAAAATTAAAGTTCTACTATTATTCTGAAATATTGATTATGGTTCTTACAACGTATCATTGGCTACACTCTTCAGTGATGGACAGATTATCGTTTGATTCTACAAAGAAGTAACTGATTTTACTTTCTGAATCACAATGTAGTCAAATGAAAATTCTTCTTCAAATAAGAAATCAAGATAATAATGTTACTTGTGAGATGTGAATATTTTTGATAATATGTTTTATCTAGCTACGCTTAAACAATAGATCAGTTAAACAAACAGCCCAAAACATAAACTTTTTTTGTGATAATGTATAAGAAATTCAGAGGAATGGGGTTTATTCATTATGTTGGTAAGATTTACGCGACAAACGATTAACCTTGCATGAAAAATGTTATTTTATAAGTTTATTTAAATATTTGGTAAAATCACGTATTGTAATTTCAAACCAATGGATGGATCAATTTTCGTTTCATTCGTTTCATTCGTTAATATCAGTAAATGTAAATTTCGCTTTAGTACAATGAAAAAGAAGAATCTACGAATTTGTAAGACTTATATCATTCTTTACTTATTAAAATATTGATATTATAACATAACATTTACGCAGTTAATATTAACATTGTATGAAAGATACACTACTTTTATTTATGATTTAAATTATACAGAGTTGATGATACATGTCAGTATCATATTGTAATGTTCTATTATCTGCATTTTTAATTAATCCGAATTTGAAATGCAATAAATATGCTAACATATTTCCCACAACTAAATTATTAGTGACATTATCATTATAAAGTGCAACATGCACGTTTTAAATGTCTTAAATTGAAAATTATTGAATATAGTAAATAATAAATCAATGGACTTATAACTTCATAATAATCTCATAGTATACATACTATTCATTTCATTTATTCATACTATTCTTTCACAAGTTTTCATATTCATTTCGTACAATCCTGCTGTTAACGCGGATTTTTACACTTTATTTGCATCATGTAAAGCATTTTCTGAACTTTCGCTGGCACGTTATACCACGTAGAGTTGTATCTGTCTCAATGAAGTAAAATATTATGTTCGAAATAAAACAACATTATATTCGAGAATATGGTTCAAAGTTAAAGGCCATATGGAAAAGATATGATGAATCTATTTTTTTGGCTTTTTGACTTTTTGATAGTTAAAAAGAAATAGAATAAAAATCGATTTATCGATATAATAATAATATATCGATTATTTAATATATATATATATTAAATAATTGTTGTAATTTTTCACATTAGTTTGGAATTAGTTTGAAATTGTTAATATAATTTCAAAATCTATTAATGCACATAATGTTTACATATACAAATTTCTTTTTATATAAAGTGTTCAAGTAGTCGTATCTTCATGAGCTATTGTATCATAAATGTTTTAATCCGAATGTAAATTGAGTCTCTTCATCTTTCTGTCCATGTTTTCCAAGGTATTGCTGTTGTTAATGAAACCAATATGGGTGCAATTTTGTAACTACATAAATTTATTATATGTAGAACGTACAGATGCTTTTCCTAGAACCGAGGAAGTGCATCTGGTGGATGTAATTATACTCGATCTTCAATATTAAAGTTTATAATTGCAATCATTAAATATGTAACTCTGGGTCGTTGGTTTAAGAAAGATGGGTAATTTTGAAATATAATATTAAATAACAAGGGTATAACAGATAACAACTCTTTCCAATTGAAATATGTCAATTTTGTTGGAAAAGCAAGACGTACGATTATTTTAAAATATTAATTCAGTCGCTTCCAATATGGCGTTCATCGAACATACGTCGGCAGACAGAAGATTCAGTTATTATGTCTACGTTTGGAGTTTTTACCAATATTACGATTGCGTATCGTACCTTGCTTGATTAACATGTGGATATTATTAAATACATAGGTATATGCATGTACTCTGTGACAGTATGTCAAAAAATTTAGTAGAATAATTTTTGGTGAAGTTCAAGTTGTTAATTGCGGATAAAGTATGTCGAATAAATGTCGTGATTCATAACTTTATTTGCATTTCTGACAAACGAACAGATTCAACATTAACGGTATAAATATACAGTGCACTATATTCATATTTAGTTAATCAAAATATAAAACGCAGCAATAAACTTATCCTTTGAATGACATTATCATCGTGAAGTATGACATGCAGGTTTTGAAAGTCTGAAATTGAAAGTGACCGATTATAGAAAATATATAAATAGATTTATAACCTTGTAATAAGCTCATAATATACATACTATCCCGAAGTTTTCCATATTCATTTCGTATAATCCACCTGCTGTTAACGTACATGGATTTCTACACCTTATTTGCATGATGTAAAGCATTTTCTGAACTTTTAGTGGCATATTATACCATGTGGAGCTATATCTGTCTAAACGCAGTAAAATGTTATATTCGAGATTAATAAAATTATGTGTATTTGAAGGACATGCGAAAAAGATATGATGAGTCTGTTTTTGTTGAGTTTTTAACTTGTATATCACCTGGTGATTAAACAGAAATACAATCGAATTCAATTTATGAAATCTACACTTCATCAATTTTCCTTATTGTCTATTATATCTATTTCATTGAAATTCATTTTCAGATTCAATCAACAAGAATTCATTTAATCAGACCCTAATTTTCTTTCAATATATATAATAGTATATATTTGTAACAAATTAATTGGTTTTAAGTTTAAAATGAAAATGAATAAAAGATACGCAATGTTAAATAAGAAGTAAATAGTATAGAATTTTAGTTTTCGCTATGGTAATTTAACTTGATTAATATTTATATTAATTTCTTTTTAATTTTAATGTAAATTTTATTATAAATTTCTTTTTAATAATAGTGAAAAGATCAATAATAACATATATTTAATCCTAAAATCAGATGAGAAGACTCATCATTCTTTTCATCTCTGGTCTACACTTGTATAAATATAGTAAACACATACATTTGTTTCGCAAATTCATTGCAATGATCTAGAAGAACTTGGCCAGGTAAACTGAGCACGAACAAGTGAAACTGATTAGCTCCATGAAATAAAGCAGCTCTTAGAGCTTCTGCCGGTCTATCAAAATTCACGACTGTCTGAGAAATAGAAATATCAATTAGTGTTAATACTATTATATTGATTGTTAAATAATGTAACTTTTTTCAGCTGTAAATGAAAAAATTAATTACTTCAATCAAAATTAACACATTATAATTAAATTTTGTTTAAAGAAATAGCAATAATATAGTTATTTCTATAATTAATTTGTCATAATAAATTGAAAATTCGGCAAAATTTGAAATACGATTATTATAAATCTATATAATAAATGTAACTAAATTCTATTGTACGTATATCAGGTAAATCATTACTGATATATTTTCAACATCAACATGTTTCTGCTAAATTTTCTATTCCTCAGTTGTCATATTTTTATTGTAACGAATTCCATTATTCTATATTCAATTCTCAAAAAATAACATTACTCATAACATGACCTAATACATATGTATATTTACTAGATTATATTTACTTGGACAGCTGTCACGCTCATCCCCATCATATTTATGCCAACTTGTATCAAATAAGATTTCTGATTGCTCTCATTTAGAAGATTGTAAAACCTCAAAATATAAAGAAGAAACAAATTAATCAGGTTCAATAGTCAATTGATAAATTTACTATGCTTCTTGTTATTTGATTAATACAAACTCGATAGCTTCATTGTGCATGATTACGCAGTCTCGAAATTGCTCAACTTTGTATTTATACGAAGCAATTTCGTCGTCGGAATCGGACTGTCTCGTTGCTTTCTGCACTTTATACCTATACTTGTAACAAAAATTAGGAAACCGATCATAAAATTTTGCAATGCATATAAGAACGATTAGTAATACGAATATCTGTAATACGATTATCAAAGGATCGTGATAATATACCCGCACACCGCAAATAATCCGCTGCTGTGATGAATTATGAGAATATACAACCAATCAGCAGCAATCACGGTCATTACAACTATTACTGCTCCCCAAGCTAATTGTATATATACATAGAAGAAGTAATCATTTTGGTCAAAAATCATGTAATTAACTCTAAGTAATTGCTGTCGCGATCGGGTTTCATTTAGTGGATGAATAATGTCCATTATGGGAGAAATCAATGGAACCACCAAGAATAATATCATAAAGGACATTAAAGTACCTAAAAAGTATATAGTTGATCATTGTTATTATTTTCATTTAAGATAATCAAAAATAAGCAAGTATTCGGATACTGTTGACTAATCTTACTTCGATATAATTGGCCCATTTTGTTGCCTTGCATGAGAACTTTTTCCAAAATGTGTAATTCGTTATTTAACTTCAACTGCCCCCATTCTTTTTCTATGAAATTAAACAGCTTGTTGAACTGTAAAATAATGCGTTCATATGACATTTCCTATTTGAAATCTTTTTTCTATGTACAATAAGAAATTGACGTACGTTCTTTCTGTAGATATATATATTCAATAATTTGCAGATACTGGCCGCACAAGCAGCTAAATGCGGCACACATTCAAGAGCGGCGTCGATATTTCTTGCACATAATGAGGCATAAAATTCTAATATCTAACGAATCGTATCCCGATTGTTCAAAAATATTTATTTCTGATTACTTACGTTACTACATACAATTCGCTCAATTCAATTTCTTCACTCTCTCTATAATAATTTTCTAGAAAACATTCAATTATCTTTTCCTTACCGTTGGAACAAAAATGCTTGCAATACTAATCAATGCTACAACTATACTAAAATCTCCGAATCTTTCTTTTCCTTGTGGGTTTAGTCCCACTAATTGTAAGTACTTTTTGAGTATTTTGTAGTACGAGATTTCGAATACACGATGATACTGTTTTCCGTATCTCTGAAATGCTATGTAATCTAAGCTCAGATTAATTTCATGAAAATGTTTTGTGATACATATGCTATATACAGTAGCTGATGAAAGTATTTGGAGACATGTAAAAACAACTAATGTGATTAATATTGATTAATACGAATCCCGATTATCATAATAATATCCATATAGTACATTTTCAACGTCATTTCTGACGCTTATGTTCTTATATATTCCACACAATTGAATGTATGTTTATATACACGAAAAATTATTATATTAAACGTCTAAATATTTATACCTTCATAATCTACTGTAGATGCTTTAATCAGAATAGATGCAAATTGTGTCTCTTACTGTCCATGCTTTTCAAAATACTGCTGTTGTTAATGAAACCAATATGGGTGCAATTTTGTAACTACATAAATTTATCGTATGTAGAGCGTACAGATGTTTCTTCCAGAACCAAGGATCTGATGATTGTAGTTATACTCGACCCTCGATATTGCTTAAAGTTTGAAATTGCAGTTATTAAATATGTGACTGTGTTTACCGGACCGGGTACCAGTTTTAAGGTATAATATTAAATAACAGGAGTAAAACAGATAACAACCCTTTCCAGCAATTGAAATATGAAGCCTGTCAATTTTGTCGGAAAAGCAAGACCTACCATTAGTTTAAAATATTCAGCCGCTTCCAGTATGGCGTTCATCGAACATACGTCGGCAGACAGAAGATTCTCAAACTATAGTGCAGTTAAGTTTCCAAACAAGTTGTTACTTTCTCCGAATATTACGATTGCGTATCGTACCTTGCTTGATTAACATGTGGATATTATTAAATACATAGGTATATGCATGTACTCTGTGACAGTATGTCAAAAAATCTAGTAGAATAATTTTTGGTGAAGTTCAAGTTATTAATTGCGGATAAAGTATGTCGAATAAATGTCGTGATTCATAATTTTATTTTCATTTCTGACAAACGAACAGATTCAACATTAACGGTATAAATAGACAGTGCACTATATTCATATTTAGTTAATCAAAATATAAAATGCAGCAATAAACTTATCCTTTGAATGACATTATCATCGTGAAGTATGACATGCAGGTTTTGAAAGTCTGAAATTGAAAGTGACCGATTATAGAAAATACATAAATCGATTTATATATTTTTCATGAATTTGTGTTCTGATAATCGAGATTCTACTGTAATTATTAGGGGTGTGCGAGAACCCGAAAATATCAGGAACTCGGCTACCGTTTCTCTACGTAGCAAAGACTGAGAAAATGTGATATATAAAATAATTGTAATATTATTCTTAAAGTATCTTACTTATTTTTCCTGTATATTACGTAATTATTTATACTTAGGAGTGTACGAGAATCCGATGGTCGGGACGAGTCGGGTCGGGTCAGGTTCCTGAAAATTTCGAGATTCCCGAAGGAATCGGGTTTCCTGAAAATTTCGAGAACCCGGCTACCGTTTCTTGAACTATTCTACAATGCTGTATAGCAGCCTACAAAATATGTAAATACACAGTTCAATTTCTTCTTCCAGTGAAGTTATTGGAAACACGGATTCTAAGAATCGTGTAACCTGATGTAAACGAACGTGTGACTGCGTGCTTAGCACTTGGACATTATGTACGCTTGTTGAGCAGTATCGCTGAGAAACTTGGGGAGGTCAGACGTATATTTCAAAATCTGTGTGAATTTAATAAAGATTAAAAATCTTTAAAAACAATGTCGAGTGATAGTGAGAGTAAAGTTGTGGTAGCAGGAAGTAGTGCTTAAGATATCGTGTAAAGGAAGAAAGTAAAGAGAAGCTCGGAACATTTTCAAGAAGATGATACAAAGGCGGAATGCACACATTGTCATCATGAATTTAAAACTAAGTATGCAAATACTACTGGTTTATTGTGCCATTGAAGCATATGCATTCAAACATAATAATAAGTATATGTACTAGAAAAGAAACTGAATCTGGAGTCGTTTCTGGACTTTGTGTTTATATAAATAAAAAAATTTTAAAAGTGATCATAAATATCTCTCTCTCACGAAAATATATACATTATGTGTTAGTATGTTGTATTATATATATGAAAGTATATAGATATGTAATATGTGAAAATAAAATACCAATGACAATGAAAAATTGTGAATAATTTAAATTGCTACAATTTTGTGAAAGAAGATCATATAACAATTCTCATTTTAAAGGACTTCTATTTTAATAGTCATGAGTTTGTTTCTTTTGAAGATGACATTACATCATGTAACGGATGAGGAAAGTGAGGATACGTTCTTTCCAAAAATTGTAAAAATTCAAACGTGTTCAATTCTTGATGACCTATTAAGATTGTTAAAACAACAAAGTAAAAAAGCGAAATAAAATTATTGTTCAAGCAGTAATATCGAAGAAGAGATAAGGCATACGAATAATTATTTTATTTGTGTATATGTTTATTGATTGTACCATACATTGATTTACATATACAGCTTCTTAGCATGTATATCTAACTAATGATACTACATAAAGTAGGTACACATTGCCATATCCATATATAATAATTGATCATCAACAGGATGAATTCATTTTGTAAACGAATCAGTCTCTCAACGATAGAAGCACCGTAAAGTACGATACGCATGTTTTAAATGTCTTAAAATATTAAATTATTATTATTAATTATCATTCTATTACTCACACCATGACAAAGTAATTACATTCATCCTACACAGCTAAATACGTACTATTCCAAAATTCTCGATGTTCATTTCGTATATTCCTCCTGCTGTCAACTTACATGGTTTACTAGATCTCATGTGCATCGTGAGAAGTATTTTTTGAATCTTTACTGGCACTTTGTACCACGTCGAACAGTATCTAGTATACAATTGATAGAAATGTATATTATCGAAATGATAATTTTGTTGTGTAAAATATATTTGTTGACATACATATCATTAGTCAATTCGAAACTGTGATCTGTGATCACTTGTCCAGGTAGGGTAATAATAAGCAAATGGAATTGTTGACCCACGAGAAACAGACCAATTCTAATTGCTTCTTCAGGTCGATGCAGATTTACAACAGCCTAATTAAATCATATTAATATGCTGGGTATTCGATCGGTTAATATTTTTTTTTATAATTGCAAGGTAATTCTCACTTGTACGGCTGTTACGGTCATGCCGACCATAGTCAGTAAAATTTGAAAAAAGTAACTCCTACGGCTGCTAACATCTAGCATCTCGAATAATCTTAAAATACAACAAAAGAACAAATTAGCTAATTTTGTTCACTGCTTTTTTTATTATATTTTTTCTAATTATTACATTAATTATAAATTTGTTGTTACTAACTGGAGGGCATTCTTATGCATGTTCAAGCATTGCCTAAATCGTTCAGTGTAAGTTTCATTTATACCAACATCAGTAGATCTTGTGGCTGTTATAATATTCTGCCTATATTATTAACAAATATCGCAATAAACGAAACCAATTTCAAGCTAGGTAAATTGAATTCAAGATAGAAATAATTTTGGAAATATATATATTTTTTCATATATATTGTAGCAAATAAGAGACAGCGAATAAGGAATAAGGGAACTCTCGTGAAATCATTCTTTACATCATGTAACACTAACATAAGCTATTTCTTATTGTACTATTATATGTCTACTTACCCGCATACAGCAAATAATGCACAATCATGATGAACGAGTTGTATGTATAATGAATCAATAGTGACTGCAATCATGACTGTTGCGAATGTACACCAAACAATATAAAAATATATAAGATAAAAATACTCCTCTTCGTCTATAAAGAATTTCAATCTAAACATTTGTTGCCGGTGGCGAGTTTCATTGAGCGGTAAGATGATATCCATGAATATAGGATACAACGGAATAAATATAAATCCCGACATACATGATAACACAAAAACTGAAAATAATATCAGCAATATCTCATTATAAAATACAATATAGAAATTGATAAAAATGGTATATAAAAGCATATTTGATATATAAAATTTATATAAATGACATAGATATGAAAGGAAAGTTGCAATAGTTTACCTCTGTATACTTCGCCAATTTTATTTCCTTGCTTAGTAATTTCCTCAAGAATGCACGCTTGATTTCTATTATTTAACAATTTCCAGTCTTCCTTTACAATATCGAACATCTTTTCAAACTAGAAAATAGTTATGATTTTGAGATTTTTATCTATACCAGAATTTTTTTTTTTTTTATAAATCTATATACATTTTTTCTGTAAATCTCATGATTTAACAATTTTATTAAGACAGCTGATACCGCAGCTATTACAGGCATCCCTTCCAACATTCCTTCCAGATCGTTTTCGTGTAGTGAGATAAAGATTTGTGCAAACTGTTAAGTAAAATCTTCAATTATATTATTTAGCCACTTTTAGTAAATTGTATCTAACATCCTTTTATCAATTTTACGTAACTAACATTTTTATTTATTTAATACATGTATATGATTTTTAATTTTGAATATTTAATATTTTTTAATATTTGATATATTGATCTTGAATATATTTAACACATTGTATGTGTATTTTGTACACATACGTATATAATACGTATTTTTACTTACCGCTGGACAATAGAATGTCAATAAAGTTCCTGTTATTACGGTTACATTCAATTTGCTGCTCCATCGTGATTGAGTTGGAAACTGTCCCAAGAATAATAAATATTTTTTAAATGCTTTGTAATAAGAAATATCAAATAGAGTAGTTGTGCGTCTTTTGTTTCTCTGAAACACTAAACATTACTACATTACGCATTTGATTTAAAATTAGTATTATTATTAATGAACAAAAATGTGGTTATTTTAATATTTTATGTGTATATTGCATCTCTTACTATTACTGCTTATATTTCAAAATTTCTAGATTTATTATACGTATACTTAAAGAAATGTAACGTAAGTGTCTAGCCACAAATGTTTTTACAATGAAATACTGAGCATGAAGTATGAATCTCTTCTTTATAGATCCGAAATAAAAAATGACGATAAGTTAATTGGATAGAATGTATATATCTTTTACAGTAATGTTAATGACAGTACTGTCATATTATTTTCATTATGATACGAAATGTAAATTGTTTGATTTTCGCAACTACTCTGTAGACTATAAGAAAATGACATGTGACTTATCTTTCTTTCTATCAGTCTGCTAAATAAGCGGTAGACGAAGAATTAGTTATAATAACTGTTCTGCATTGATGAAAGAAGAGTATTCTGCAATTTCGCGTATCTAAATCGTGGAATATCGGAATGAAATAGTGAGTGACTGACAAGCGAACTTGTTTCCTTTGAATTCTGAAAATTAAAAGTAACGGCAAGAATCGAGACGATTCTGTTTGTTTCATTTATCTGCACGATCCAATCCATCTCTTAAAAATATTCTGGTTACAAGTTTCATGCTTTTCATTTCACATAATATTGACGAAAATGTGTAAAATCGTTTAACAAATGATTATGCACGCGATGAATATTTATTAATAGTATTAGTAAATAAGTTAGCCAAAACAAATAGACCGTTATTACGATAAATATTGATGTATATCGAATATACGATTACATTTATTAAAAAAATAATTGCAAAAACATAAATGCAAATATCCAAAATAAAAATGATTATGAGTGTCAATGATTAGATGTTTAATTTTTAGATGTGATTTCAGTTAATAGAAATATAATATCCAGAGTAGGAAAGACTAATGAAATCAACTGAAAAATTATCGCACAAACGATTATAATATAATTAAATTGCCACACAATTACATTATTTAATTTACATACGTTAAAAGTTAGACGTGTGAATACTCTTTTGAATCTTTAACTCTAATTTTATCATATTATCGAACATTTTTCTAAAATAGAGTAACATGTTTCCATATGATTGTTTATGAAAGATTTATTGCAAAAGATTTTTATATTGTTTTTATGTTTATAACATTGAAGCAGAATTAAAGTGTATAATCATTTTATTTACGTGGACATTTAATTATTGTGCTTTGATGTAAGTACTTTACATTCCTATATAAATGCTTTTTAATTTCAGGTCTGCATATTTAATAACATTATACAAAATTGTCCATTGGCATTACCATATCCATAATAATGATTGATTGTTGGAGAATTCATTTTGAAAACGAATCAATCTCTCAACGATAGCAGTACGGTAAAGTATGATACACATGTTTTGAATGTCTTGAAATATCAAACGACACTAATTATTATTTTATTATTTATATTGCAATGAAATAATTACGCCACTAATAATAATAATAAGTACGCACAATTCCAAAATTCTCAATGTTCATTTCGTATATACCTCCTGCTGTTAACTTACACGATTTGCTAGACCTCATTTGCATCGTGTGCAGTATTTTTTGAATTTTTATTGGCATGTTGTACCATGTTGAGCGATATCTATTAAGGAAAATACGGTTCATAAAAATATTATATCAAAATGATGTTTTTGGGACGTATGAAACATACTTGTTAACATACATATAATTACTCAATTCGAAACTATGATCCGTGATCACTTGCCCAGGCAGAGTAATAATAAGCAAATGGAATTGCTGAGCCACAAAGTACAAACCAAATCTAAAAGCTTCTTCAAGTCGATGCAGATTCATAACGATCTAATCAAATGATATTAATGTGCTGAATGTTCGATTCATTAATTTTTTTCTGAAATTGCGAATTAGTTCTTACTTTCACAGCTGTTACGGTCATGCCGATCATAGTCAGTAGAATTTGACAAAAGTAACTCTTTCGACTGCTGTTGTCCAACAGCTCGAACAATCTTAAAATATAAAAAAAGAACAAATCAGCCGAACTCTATAAACTTTTCTTTATTATAATTATAACATGTTGATTATAAGATTAATTATAAGTTGTTACTAACTGGAAGGCATTCTTATGCTTGCTCAAGCATTGCCTAAATCGTTCAGTGTAGGTTTCATTTACAGTAACAGTAGATTGTGTTGCTGTTATAATGCTTTGCCTATATTATCAAGAAGTGTTTCACTAAATGAAGCCCATTTTTGTTTATATTAAAATAACCTGCATAAATTCAACTTAAAATAAACGCAGTTAAAAATTATTTTTCTCAGAAATACTAGAGGCAGCGAATAAAAAAAATCCCGTGAAATCGTCCCTTGAAATGTGTAATGTTATGAAGAAATGTTTTTTACACATCATATTTTGTATACTTACCCACACAAAACAAATAAAGCGCAATCGTGATGAATGATTTGTATGTATAATGAATCAATAGTAATTGCAATCATGACTGTTGCGAATGAACACCAAATAGTATAAAAATATATAAGATAAAAGTACTCCTCTTCATCTATGAAGTATGTCAATCTAAACAGTTGTTGCCGATGGCGAGTTTCATTAAGCGGCATGATAAAATCCAAGCATATAGGATACAACGGAATGAATATAAATCCTGACATACATGACAACATACAGGCTGAAAATAATATCGGAAAGTAATATCATTCGTATAAAAATTAATAAAAGCAATGATATATAAAAGCATATTCGATATACAAAATTTATCAAAACGTGGATTACAACATGTACTTCTATAAATTTCTCCAAGCCTATTTCCTTGCTCAGTAATTTCCTTGAGAATAGAAACTTGACATTTATCGTTTGTCAATTTCCAGTCTTCTTTTATAACATCGAATATCTTTTCAAACTAGAAAAAGATTTCATGGTATGATTTCTATCTTCATCACAGAATTTTTTTTACAAATACATATATACATTTTTTTTGTAAATTTCATGATTTAGCAATTTTATTAAGACGGCTGTTAAAGTAGTCGTTACAGGTATGCCTTCCAATGTCCCATCCAGATTCTTTTCGGTTAGTGATGCAAAGATTTGTCCAAACTATAAAGTAAAATTTCTAATCAGTTATTTAGTCCTTCGTATTATATTGTACCAATATCATTTTATATTTTATATTAACTAATCTTATTTATAATTTTTATACAAGCATATGTTAAAAAAATACAATTTTAATATATTTAAGACATGCTTATAATATCTTTTACTTGCCGCTGTACAAGAGTATGAAAGTAGACTAGTTGCCACTAAGATTACGTTAAATTTATTACTCAATTGCGATTGAGTTGGAAACTGTCCTAAGAATAATAAGTACTTTTTAAGCGCTCTATAATAGGGAATATCAAACACAGTGCTTCCCCGTCTTTTATTCTTCTGAAACACTAACGATATACATTATATATTTGATATAACATAAATAACAGTGATCGAAGAATTAGATATTTTAATCATGATACGTATATATTACGTGTCTTACTATTATTACTTCTGTTTCCAAATTTTTAGAATGATTATACGTATTGTTATTATTATTTAAGAAAATGCGTAAATACGAAGTAGATAAGTACGTAGTCGCGAACTATTTTCACAGTATAGGTGGGTTTGAAGCGTGAGTCTCTTCTTTATAAGTTCAGAATAAAAAATGATGATAAGTTAATTGAATAGAATATAGGTATCTTCTATCTTTAATAATAGTACTGTTATTTCCATGTTACGGAAAAGATGAATTAATTTTCGGAGTGATGTAGGTGTACATTATTGCGAGAGTGTTATTATATTATTATACAATTTGTATGACTGTAGAGTCTATAAGAAAATTACTTTACGATTTTTGAACTGAAATAAGTTCGTATAGAGCTCTGTTTCAATTCTCTCATTTAAACTTCAAATAGTATTCAAAAAATTGTAAGTAGCAGCGAGAATCAGAATTTCTACTATATAAATTATTTAATTTTTTATGTATTTAAATAAATGTTTTAAATCTATATTATGTCTTTGTATGTACGATTCAATTCAATATGCTGATTTTACGTATGAACTTTCTTGTCTTCCATTTCACAAAACACAAGTAAAATTAACAGATTTACAATGCTTTATCTATTTATCTACAAATAACTTAACTTTACAAATAATTTAACTTTGTACAATCATTCATCTTAATTAATTTATATTAATTTATACCAAGTATTGATATGTATTATTGTTCGGATTACTATTAATTTACTAAATAACAAAGTAAGATAAACGAGATTAAGTATTTCTCACAATCAGTAACGTTGTAGAATAATATAGGATTCATCTGAAATATTGGAATATTCAATATTCGATTGAGCGAATTTTATTGTCCAAACCTTATTCTTTGAATTCTATTGTCTAAACTCCTTGAGAAATAGAATTCTTATTACATTTACTTATATACAACTATTTACTTTTCTATTCTTCCATTTCTCTATTTTTCTTTATTCAGATAAAAATCACATTTAAAAAATTTTTAAGAACTTTTATATACGAGAAAAGAATACATTTCCTATTTTTTCTAAAAATATTTTTAAAATGTGGTACATTGTGAATCAATTTCATATTAAATTTTTTTTACATTTCGCACAGTCAAATATGTGTTTTTCCATCTCAAAAATTTTAAAAATTGCTTGTGTTTATATATATATGTAAACACAGTTAGACCGTTTCATTTTCAATTATATTGTGTTGAAATTCATCAACTGATCATAAGATAATGTAAAAATCAAAAAATAAATAGAATCCTCATGTTCTTTTATCGTTATCTTCGTAAAAAATATTTAAATATTCCCACGGTTTTTAAATTTATTTTATCTACGAAAGATGTCGCTGCAATACATAGTGACTGTAACCTTAGCATGTTATGGTTGTGAGTTACCTATCCAGTATCGAACTCTACATCGCAAGTTACGGTTATAAGCGTACTCAGGGTTTGTTGTTCGTCTGTTTGGTGTGTTGTATGTGTTTATATTAGTTTCTTGTGTAAAAACTGCCAAATTTTCATAATGAGTGCTGAGGAAGAAGTATTACGAATTCAGAAAAAATTAAACAAGATGTCGAGCGGTGACGGGACGGTGAGTAAGTGAGTAAAATATAGTTGTGTACCCTGCTCAGCATATTGGAGTTCATTAAGCAAAGCTCTCCCAGTGTAAACTACAATTACTCTATATATTATTGTAAATGTACGACAAATACGAATTTATTATCGTTTGAAATTTTTTTCAAAAAGAAAAACAAATTTTTTTTCCATATATAATAATTCAACATTAAAGCATTAAAATGTATTATGAAATTTTAATATTTAGCATAATAATTTTAATGCATTCATAAAACTTTGCAAAAGTTAGGTCATATTATTTTCGTTCTAAATTTATAAAAATGTACACTGTAAATTTTTCTGTTTACATAAGTGCCAAATTGACATTAAAACCTAATTGCGTTAGATGCATTCCGAACTGTAAACTAATAATCAAAGTTTATCAGTGTGGATGTGATTAATTGTATAATTCAATTTTTTTCACTTAATGTTGCTTGTTATCTGCTAAACTATATCGTTACACGAAATTGGCTATAATGTATATTTCGATGATAAAAATACATAATAACAATATGTTTAATAATATAAGGAATAAAGATGTAATTTTTATAATTATGTTAATAACATATATGTACCTAAATGTAATTTATATTAAAAAAATATAAATGAATCATATATATATATATTTTACATTACATTGACAACTTTTTACATTACAGGGACAAGAGCAAGCATTGGAATTACTTAAAATATTACAAAAATTACCTGTTGATTTGGAACTCCTGACCAAGACACGTATTGGAATGACAGTAAATGCGTTGAGAAAATCAAGCAGAGATGAAGAAGTTATATCATTATCTAAAACTCTCATTAAAAATTGGAAAAAATTCTTATCTGGTAAAAGAATAAATTTAAACGCATAAGTAAAGGTCATTTTTAGATAATTATTTAAATCAAAATAATGTATTTATTTCTCATAGGATCCAATAAAGAAAAGGATTCTACTTCTTCAAGTAGTTCCAAAAAAAAAGATGATAAATCAGAGAAGAACAAAGATGATGGAGATCAGAAGAAAGATAAGGATAATGCAGATGGAAGCGATGTTAAAATGAAGGAAGAAAAACCTCATAAAGATATTCAAAGAAAACAGTCTACGTTTCCTGCTCCTACAACCACAGATGCTGTGAGACTTAAATGTAGGGAACTGTTAGCAGCAGCTTTGAGAGTAGATGGAAATACAATTGATGGCTGTGCTACACCAGAGGAACTAGCAGAGGAACTGGAGGAAGCAATTTATGCAGAATTTAAAAATACTGATAATAGATATAAAAACAGAGTAAGCTTTTAGTTGTGCTTTTGTCGTTTTAATTTTTTTATTTTTTAATTGTAATTTAATGGTGTACATCTAAATATTTAGGTACGAAGCAGAGTCGCTAATTTACGTGATGTAAAAAATCCTAATCTTCGAACGAACTTTATAGCTGGTGCTATAACTCCTGCTAGGCTTGCTGTTATGACTGCAGAAGAGATGGCAAGTGATGAAATAAAACAATTAAGAGAACAGTTTAAAAAAGAGGCAATTAATGATGCGCAACTTGCTACAGTGCAAGGAACGAAAACTGATCTATTAAAATGTGGAAAGTGCAAAAAACGTAATTGTACTTATAATCAAGTGCAGACGCGCTCAGCTGATGAACCTATGACTACTTTTGTACTATGCAATGAATGTGGAAATCGATGGAAATTTTGTTAAATATTCTTTCCACGGTTTTTTCTGACTGCAATGGAGAGGAAAATGGATTTCGTTCAAAACCTACCTATTAATCATCATTATTAGAGTTAATGAATATTAAATATTTACAATTCACAGATTACATTGGATGCTTGATAACGTTTTTAATTTTTTCACAAGTTGAAAAGTATCCAGTTTTTATTCTATTGTATATACTGATATTCTGAATTACTAAGTCTTATTTTAGGGCTTTATAGGACTTCAATCGTATTCAAAAAAGAGTTCATTAAATTAAATGATACGTTTTCTTATTTTAATACAGCATTATTGTTGTTAAGAACTCTTAATGCGCTAATATTAAGACTAAAATGTTTCGTTTTGCATTGTACGAATTTATATAATACTTTACTTGTGAACAACTCGAAATTGTGGGTACAGTACTGAAATACATGCATGTAATTACAATGTAGTATTTTTGGAACCCTTTTTGACAGTAGTAAAAATTTTATATTTAAAAATAGATGTAATATATATTGTGAGTGTAAAATAATTTCGTTATTATTTTAATTAAATTAAAGGAGTTTGAAAAGTTGATATAATTTAACTTCTAATTGATTGAGTAACAATTGTACACTTTTTTATTGATTGATTTTACTATAAACTTGATAGTTTTTATGAATCACCGTTGGGGGCCGCCACTCGATGATTCTAACAATTTAGCTTCAACGGTTTACGTATTTCAACGCGTACGCTAATTTCTAACCTAATATCAATGTCATTTGTGTTGCTTTACGTCCATATGTACTTTCAAATGGTTTTTAAATCATTTACAACTTGTTAGCAAGATCATGTAAAGAAAAATAGTTTGTGTTGAAAGATAGCGTATAATTGTACACAAAAATTCATAATGATATAATGTTTAAGATGAAATCTTTTAAAGTTAAGAGAAGATTCAATGAATATCCAGGATAATATAAACATTTTTGATTATTATATATACATAATGTTTGTATAATATGCAATGATCGTTAATTTATTTAAAATATTTTATGACAATAATAATTAATTAAAGCATACGTTAAAATAGAAAGTGAACGATTCACGATCATCACTATGTGCGGAGACGCCCACATCAAAGAGCAGTGGCAACTTTTACAAAATCTTCGATCTACGGTAGAAGGTTTATTAGTCGATGGTGTTTTAAACGTATGGAATGTTTACGGTGGTTTAAATCGTCTTCACAATGTAATGGAAAGGATATTCAAACATGGCTGTCGAATATTTAATCGAAATGTAAGATTATGTTCTCTACTTTGTTTTCATATGACATGCGTAATTTACCGGTATTAGTAATTATACTCAATTATATCTTATTGTTTTTTATTATTCCCCTTTATTGAAATTTTTAATTGAATGTAAATTGTTTATTTACATTAATACTTATATCTTTTCTTTTTGTTTTCATTAATTATATCATTGTTTATCCTGTTTATATTTAGATTAATTTTGATATTTTTATTTACTGTCATTGTATTTTTGTTATTTATATAAGAAACTTGGTATAAAAAAAATTAATAACATTTATTACAAGGGAGAACCAGATTGTTGGATCTTTATTCAAGGATTAAATTGGCTGCAGCCTTCTGCAGCATTGTCACCTGTTGTTTCTGAAACAGAGGATTATCTTTCCAATTTACCAACTAGGATCATATCACATAAAGATATGTTATGGTTATATAAAAGGTAATTACAGAAAAAGAATGTGATAATTTAATTTCTTAATGTTTAATGTTTAATTTATTTAATTCAGTAGCATACATATGTAAAAAATCATATATTCATAAAAATCATAAGTTGTATATAACATAATTTAATAATTATGTAGTTTGGAAAGTCATTCTTTGTCATATAAGCTATCATGGCTTTTGTCTGACAAAGAACATTTACTTTCTTGCTTTGAACCATGGGCATTTTTGTGTCAAGAAAACTTAGCTGAAGCCACACTTCTTTGTTTAAGAGCAGTTGAAAGAAACCAATCTACATTACTTACAGAAATTGATCCATCTTTGGTAAGTTGATTAAAGAAAATTTTATTCATTGTAATATGTATATTTTCATACTTGTATAATTGATACAATTATTCATACACATTTTAATTCTTTCTTTTTGATACTTTTGCTTTTAGTTTTTACCTTGTTGGATTTCTCCTAAAACAAGTCCAAAAAGACATCGTCGATCTTCCTCATATCCAATTAATTTCTCAGCAATAAATTTTAGTGTTGCAACAGATAGAGCTGTGCATATTGAAAGATGTCAATTAGAATCATTAAAAATAGCTTCAGATTGCAAAACTGTGCAACATGATGATGTTAAATCCAACGAAAAAAATGAAGATAACCCATCAAATTCTAAAGAAATTAATGATATACCTTTGAAAAGTTGGAGTAGTCTTTCAGCATTGACAAAAAATTGTACAACTCTTAGAAAAACTGTTTCTGTAGCTTCACCATATGTTGCGAAGAACAATACACAGAACAGTAATTATTCTCAAACATCTTCTGTCGAATTATCAAAAATAATTAATGTAAATTATGCTGAATTAAAACAATCAAATGCGGATAATAAATTACTTGTAAAGCCAAGAACTCCTCTAAGAAAGATAAAAAATAAAACTAAGATGAAACAGTATCAAAGTATTAAAAAATCTAGCGAAGATTCTGATGTGTTAAACAACGAGGATGCATTGATAGATGCAGTCGAAGAATACCGAATCCCATCTCTTATATCAAGTGAAACAAATTCAGGTATGTGTAATACAAATTCCACAGAAATTAAGATTTCTCAACAGCCAAGAAGGAAAACTTCTCTTCTATCAGGATCAGCACCTGAATTTACTAGTCCATGGAATTTAGAAATTGAAGGGCAGAAGGATATAAGAACACCAAAGAAGAGTTTCATGGAAGATGGAGGAAGCAGTGTTCAACCTATGGCTATAGGATACTTTCCACGTCCAACAGAAGGTCAAAGTTTGACAAATTTTTTAGCTTCTGCACAATTTTCTAGAGCAAATGCTGAATTGGATAGAGAAAATGCACATTTCAGCGTTTCTGAAGCTATGATAGCTGCCATTGAACAAGTAAAATGTAACAAACAATGGCGCCTTGTGGAAGAAGCAACTGAAGAAAGTGATGAAGAAATAAATAGCTTAAAACAAAGGATACGATTAAGGCGCCGCCAACGACAAGAAGAACGGTACAAAGGAAGGACGTGGAATCGCGATTTATTGAGTGATGGCAAGACGGATACAACAACCACTGATCAAAGTGTTAGTCCATTATCAACTTCGTCTGATACTCCATCAGAAAATATGTCAACAGATGATATAGAAGATTTAGAAGTGGATGATGAGCGAAATGCAGTAAAACTTAAGAATGCTGGAATTTCCATATCCATGGCATCTTTATACTCAGATGCAGATTTATACCAATCATCTCCTGCACATGGAACAGAATCAACATTAACTGAAAGTAGCATGTCCGCGGAAGGAGTAGCTTTGTCGCTTCTTAGCAAATTTAGTGAAAAACAATTACCAAGAGCGAGTGAATTACAATGGCTGGTCTCTGAAAAGGATGTACCACAAAGATTGTTACCATTACCAAAAAGTTGGCCAATAAATCCAGATGATACAGAAAATTCACAATCAATTCCATTGCGTGGGACGACAGAATGGGCTCCACCAAGACCTCAAATTATTTTTACATCACATCCTCCACCAGTGTAAGTTTTTAAATTTAGAATATATGTATAGGGTGTATGCGAAATCATGATACAATTTGCCAGGGTATGATTCTAAAATTTATTAAGTATACCTGAATTTAGCTAATCCTACATGTGACACAAAAGAATAATTAATAGTTAATTATTCTATATACGATAATAAATAAAAAAATCTAGAATAAAATTTTTTTATAAAATGCTTTGTTTCTCAAAAACAAAGCCTCAAACGAATATATTTTATTCTTTTTTCCTCGACTGATTTTTACGTGTAATCATTTCCTGGTTGGTTATACCACGATTTCGAAAATATCTTATATAATTTAATTATTCAGTTAAACATGATATTTTTTATACATAGGCGACGCACTCTTATAGCTAAACAGAATTATAGGTGTGCAGGATGTGGAATGAAAGTTGCAATAAAATATGCCAACAAATTTCGTTATTGTGAATATTTAGGTAGATATTTCTGTACTGGATGCCATACGAATCAAGTAGCATTAATACCAGGAAAAATTTTATCTAAGTGGGATTTTAATAGGTATAATACTTAGTGAAACTAAATTTACAATATATAAAGTGATACTATATATTTATTATTTTTTCATTTAGGTACTCCGTATCAAATTTTTCATATAGATTGTTGGATCAAATGACATCAGATCCATTATTTCAAATAAATGATTTAAATCCATCATTATATAGACGAATAAAACAATTAACTAGGACAAGATTATTACGTTCACAATTATTTTTCTTTAAAGATTTTCTATTTACATGTCGATTTGCGACAAGGTATAAATTTCAATTGTTTTTCCTTTTTAATTATAAGTAAAGATAATATTCTGAAATTTATTATTTTAGTGTTCAAGATGTTTTGAAGAAGGAACCAAATTACATAATAAGTGAACCCCATATATATTCCATTCAAGATTTGATGCATGTTAAATATGGTATTTTGCCAATGAGATTACAAGAATTGGTTGAAATGTGTAATATGCATATTATGAGCTGTGAGGTAATATTTTTTTATAAATAAATTTTCATATTTTTAATAAATACTGATTTATATTGTATATTTATACTTTTAATAAGATCTGATTTTACTTTTAGTTATGCCAAGCTAGGGGATTTGTATGCGAGCTATGTCGTTCCAAAGATGTTATATTTCCATGGGAATTCTCAAAAGTTAGTAGATGTGAAATATGTGGTGCATGTTTTCATAACGAATGTAAGCAGAATTTTAATAAAGCAGATTGTCCACGCTGCATTCGTTTACATGATAGACGAATGTCTAGAGAACAATTTTGACATACGGTAAGATTGTCTTATACCATATCTTTAGTTGTAAGCATCAAATTAGTAATTTATAAATTAAAATTTCGGAAATTGATTTTTATTTATTATATTTAATTTAAAATTGAAAATAATAAATAACAGAAAGTAAATTAAGACTATTAGAAATTATATTATTAATTATGTGCATGTACTGAAATATAAAGATATTTTAATTTTGAAAATTAATATATTTATAAACTTCATAAAATTAGATATTATGTTGTTTAAAATTTTTGAAGTATAGCATTTTATAAAAAAATTTATTTAATATAATTATATATGAATGACAAACGTAGCAAAGACTGAGAAAATGTGATATATAAAATAATTGTAACATTATTCTTAAAGTATCTTATTAGCATTATTTTTCCTGTATATTACGTATTTATTTATACATATTACGTATACTTAGGAGTGTGCGAGAATCCGATGGTCGGGACGAGTCGGGTCGAGTCAGGTTCCTGAAAATTTCGAGATTCCCGAAGGAATCGGGTTTCCCGAAAATTTCGAGAACCCGGCTACCGTTTCTTGAACTATTCTACAATGCTGTATAGCAGCCTACAAAATATGTAAATACACAGTTTAATTTCTTCTGCCAGTGAAGTTATTGGAAACACGGATTCTAAGAATCGTGTGACCTGATGTAAACGAACGTGTGACTGCATACTTAGTACTTGGACATTATGTACGCTGTTGAGCAGTATCGCTGAGAAACTCGGGGAGGTCAGACGTATATTTCAAAATCTGTGTGAATTTAATAAAGACTAAAAATCTTTAAAAACAATGTCGAGTGATAGTGAGAGTAAAGTTGTGGTAGCAGGAAGTAGTGCAGAAGATATCGCGCAAAGGAAGAAGGTAAAGAGAAGCTCTGTTTGGGAACATTTTCAAGAAAAAGATGATACAAAGGCGGAATGCACGCATTGTCACCATGAATTTAAAACTAGGTATGCAAATACTACTGGTTTATTACGCCATTTAAAGCATATGCATTCAAACATTAGTATATGTGCTAGAAAAAAAACTGAATCGATATAAAATTTGTCGCATGCACAAAATGATACGCGAAAAATTGTTAAACCAAAAGATATAACAGAAGGAATTGCTCGAATGATGGTTTTAGATCTGCGATCTTTCAATATAATTGAAGGATTTAATGAATTATTTAAGCTTGTTCCCAATCCTTTCCCAAATCCCAACTCTTTCGGGAATCCCGATAAATTCGAGAATCTCGAAATTTTTGGGTACCTGTCCTGATCCGATATTTCGGGTTCTCGCACATCTCTACGTATACTGTTACCAGTCAAGACGAAGATAGCGATAATTTACTATTTATAAATTTTTAATTTAAATAATATATATTATTTCAGTATGTTAAAGTATAATGTAAAAACGTATTCGAGAAATGTATTATTTTAAATATTTATATTTTTCTTTTTTTTTTAACTATGAATCTTGATATTCAATGTAATTAAAAAGAAAATAGATATGAATTAGTATAAATATTGATTGTAAAATGGCAATAATATTTTAAGTATACACAATGGTTTATAAAAATATCTTTATACTAAAAAAATATAATAGTAATAAAAGTTGTACCTGGTTCCTGTCATGATTGAAAGTATGCATCGTTTATTTATAAAAGTTGTTAATAAGGTCGAAGTTTATAATAAAATATTGAAATCTAATATGTTGGTTTATTTTCTGAATGTGTTTGTAATACATGTTTTTTTGGGCTAATAATATACTAAAGGAATACATACAATAAAATAATTTGTAGGAAAAATTAAAAATTATTATTTGATTTTATTAAATTACATTTCGCTTGTAATAGTTCACATACACACATTTAATAAAATAATAGATAATAATACACTCATTATTGGTACAAAAATATATTATATACACCACCTAATTTCAACAAGTCTTACTGCATAGTATTCCTATATGACAAATTTTCATTATAAAGAAATCACTCTAAATTTGACCTAATAAAAATATATACACATTGATAACCGTGTTCACTATGTACAACAACTTTCTTGATTTAATATGCACGTTTTCTAAGGAGAATCTTAGATATTTTTTAATTGAGACATATGACTTGCATAAATATTGTTCACGAAAAAATTTTGATGCATTTGATCATACTAAAGTTTTGAATACATATATATCACAGGTGGTATTTTATAAAGAAGAATATCCGACATTTATTACAGGCACAGCTAGTGACTATGACATGAGTAAAACTCGAAAAACAATTTTTTGTTACACTTATGTATGCAACTAATGAAAGTAAGGAATACAATTTCATGTCAAATGAGAAATTACTTCCTCTATAAATTAATTATGTATCTATATATATATATATAAAACTGTAAATTTAATAGTTTTAATGTAATGTTTCGATTTAAAAAGGAAATAATCTCTTCTTTTGATATTAAATATAGTGAGTGAAAATATATATTCGTGAACTATCCTTAGCAGCATACCATTTATTTAGTCTATGAAGTGCAACAACAATGTATAACAATACGCCACATTCTCTATACGGCTCTTTTATAAAATACTAGTATCGCCTAGTTTTCTATTTATTGATATTTATATAAATGTATCAATTGAATCTTCAATAATGCATCGTATAATTATATAAAAAAAATACAAATAAAAGATTTATTTCAATCTTTGCATGCATAGAAATACTTTTGAAAATATTAATTTTTATTAGAATTTTTATGGAGTATAAAAGCGTGGCGTTAAAATAAATTTCTTAACAAAAAAAANAAAAAAAAAAAAAAAAAAAAAAAAAAAAGAAAAAACTTACAAATACTGAGATTGTAAATAGAGATTACTAATATTGTATAAATAACTAAAAAAAGAAAGAAAAAGAAAAATTATGTTATATTTATCGATTCTTTTAGATATATATTAAATTTAAACTGAGCTTCAATCATTTGATATTTGTGGTGCATATATAACTGATAACTTCAAAATTTTCTTACTATAATTTCATTATTACATAAATTAACGATCATTTTGGTTCATAAGTTAATGCTCAGTGCTCATCTTAATTTTTCATAAATTTTACTACGAGTTACCTAACAATAACTAGGCAATCCTGTGTATTATTGTCAACTATATTTCTTTAATTAAACTATATATCTAATGTGTCTTTTAATGGCAGCTTTGCTACTTCAAAAAATATCCTAAAATAAACATTATTTATAAGTTTATTATTTTAATCTTTAATTAAATATTAAAAATATGTATGAAACATATTGACATACTTACTTGTGACTGTACTTGTTGCGTATAGTAGTGAGAGCTTCTTTATGTTTCCGATGTAACCCTTCGTTTAAAAGATTTACGATATCTCGTATGTCATCAACAGTATAACCGCTGTAATATTTTAGGGTAGGAGTCCATCCTCCTAAATCTTTCATTTGTAATGCTAGAAAGAGTGCAGATGCAGCCATTTTACTATCGCTGAACATTATTGTTGAATAATCCATTAATGAATACTCCAAAATATATCGAGCTAATGTTAATGTCGGCATTGAAACTTTTGCACACTATTTGAAAAATAACATTATTATTATAATTTGTTATAAATATTAAATGTTATGGTAAGAAAAATATGACAAAAAACAACTAGATATTAACACAACTTACCCTAGCATATCGTCTAAGAAATCGATAAGAAAGAGGTATACCAAGATCAAAATCAATTACTTTTAATATACTCATTTCCATTCTAATTAATTCTCTTTGCGTGTAAGCACCGTCACATATATACAAGAAATCTTCCACCATCGGAGGTATTCTTTCCTAGAAAAACAAAAATTACAGAGTCATGCCAAAATTACAGAAACATGCTAAAATTTGTTTAAAAATTAAATGAAAATAGAATATTTAATTTTGATACTAACATCATATTTACTTGCTATGAAAAGACTTGCAGCACCTAACAATTGTAATGTTTCTTTCCCAACAGTTACTTTTGTCAAATATAGATCAACTAGTTTCACAGCCAGATACAAAGTTTCATGATTAAGTTCAAAAGATTCTTGAACTTCTACCATCCAATCAACTAATAAAGCTCTCATCCATCTTGAGAGACATACTTGTTTTTCCATATAATCTCCAATAGGAAACAAACGTTCTCTGTCTTTTAAGTAATTGAAAATATCCATGGCATAATGAGAGACTTGAAATGGATCTAGCCAATTTTCTGCATCAAAATCCCACTGAACACCTTCAGGTAATACTCTTTCAGGAATAGCATCTAATTGACTTGTCTTTAATTTTTCTTCAGTTTTTGCAAGTATTTGGGACTCGCTTGGTTCACTTTCTGTTTTTGTCTGTTCTGCTTCTGTCTTTTCAGTTTCTTCTGGCTGTTTTTGAGTATTTATTTAAATATTTAAAAGTTATGTAAAACTGCATAATGTAAAAATGATATATAATGACAAAAATTATTACCTGTGTATTACTTTTTCTGGATTTCCTGTCAATGTCATCTCCAACATCTTCTAACGCACTTACATACAAAGAACTGTCTTCTGATTTTTCTAAGTCTAAACTACGTCTAACTTTTACAATTTTAATGGGTACTTCAATTTTTTCTTCATCTTTTTTCATTGGTTTCACACGAGGCACTGGTTTTGGTTTCTGAGGTACTACCTCTGGTTTAGTCACAACTTTTTCAAGCGTTCTAACAGAACTTGTCTGAGTGAAAGGTTTTACTTGAGTAACAGCTGCCTTTTTTACTGTTTTCTTTGGTTCTTGGTTTGTTTGATATGTTCCCAATGTTTTTCCAATTGCCTGTAATTTTCTATGACTATGAATATGAACAAAAAAAATGTAAAACGAGAAAAGGAACAATTAAATAACATACATTAGTAATATTTCCTAATGCAGATCTTTTTACTGTCTTTTCTTTTGGTGGAGATGCTTCTGCTTTTCTTTTGATACGGGAATCTTTGCCAATAGAAGCCTTGAGTAAAACATTGTTTAATACAGCATTTTGACTCCTAGTAGTTACTCGTTTTCTTGTATTGGTTACATTAGTACCACTTTGTTTATTTGCCATATTTGAAATTTTTGATGGAGCCATTTTGCAATTGTTTAAGATAAAAAGATCCGAGTTTACCTTATATAAAAAGCAGGTATTGATATAACTATTATATACGTTATTAAAAAACATTTGTTAAATATTTTATTTGACAATATTTAAGTATTTCTACATAATATATCTATAGCAACTCATATAAATACTTTAGTGTAAATATAATTACAATAAATTGTCATTGTAACAATAAAAGCATATTCGAAAGATACTGTGATTTTGACGATTTTACAAAGATAAAAAAACAGCAACATTTTCGAGACATATGACTTTCATTAGCAATATATTAAAACGTACGTGGTCTAAATTACAAATAAAGTAAAGATTGATCACGAATAAAATCGTTCGTTTATTTAATTATTGACATTACTTTATAGCACCTTGAACAATGTTCAACTGATTTGTCTAAAAAATGAAACCACTTTCTGTTAGAAATCGAAGAATTCTTTTATATTTTTTGATTCCGTATTCTGATTGTTGACTTAGTTCATAGAATGGTCCATTCAGAACGAAAAAGCGCGGGAACATGCACTAAGAATATATTGTTAAACAAGATAGAAAAACATAAGTTGCACTATTGTTTAAAACCACAGCACGATTTTTCAAAGTAATGCCGAAGAAAAGTGAAAATAAACAAACATGATCAATTCATTATGATTCCTGTAAAGTCAAGCGATCACGAGAACGTATCAAAATTTCATTAATCTCTACGAAAATTGAATATTTATTTAGCAAATTATTTTTCTAGAGTAAATTAACTGTTTTGACTTACTTGTACGTACAAATTATGATGTAAAATACTCTGATTTAACAATGTTTCTCATTTATTAAATTCTCATGCCATTAATACGTTACTGTTGTGTCCATTTGTCTTTTTTGGGCAACTGAAGTTGACGCTGTTCAAAATATCACAGTTAGTGTTAGCCTTTTCTATGATTGGCCCGCTACTATTTACGCTAACCAATCAGAGACGTAGAAATTATTAAACGCCACCTGCTGATAAAACATGTAATTCAACACTATTTCGTTTCTTCAAAACGTACATATATTTTATATAATTAATGACTTGTATTATGCATTATACAAATATACAAATATATTTTAATTACTTATTTTATACAAGGAATGCATCATTTGTTGGTCATATATTGCCGAACTTTAGACATAGAAGTATAGCCACTGATTAGAAATTATATGTATTTACTTTAGAATAGAAATTGTATACAAATTCATATGTTATAAATACATCAATAAACATATAAAAGATTTTCCTATTGTTCGATCTATTGAATGCTACACGTTTCTACTGTAAATATTTAGTCTCATGTGAACAGTTTGAATTCCGTGGCTTTAATAACTAATTAGCCTTTGACCTGTATTTAGTTGTTCGACTCACAGTAAAACAGCAGTATATTTGATACTTTCCATACTTGGATTCTATTTAAATAGTCGTAAAAATATCGTAAATAGTGCTTTATTTCTTCGGTGTTTGATAACCTAACTAACACGATATTTGTTTAGATATTGTGAAAGTTTTGTCACATACCGAGTATTTATCATATATTCTCCTCATACGTGGGTACCTTCGTGTATTGTATTCCGAATTTTTAGTTTTATTGGTCTGTGATTTTATGAACGATCAAAAGAATGCAAAGTGAACGTTTCGTAGTTAAGTATATCTCAGTGAACAATTGTTTTGCCTATTTGCCGGACACCTGGTTACGTAAATTAGAAACTAAGGTTGGTGCTTCGTGTTTTTGTAATCAACAAGAAAACGTGTAAAATTTGTAAAACATTGTAAAACATACATCACACATAATAATAGATGGAATATCTGATATGTCAATTGAAATTGGTGTTAATTTTGACTATGGCAATATCTTATTGTCTCGCTAGATGTCGAGATTAATTTTTTCTTCGGTTAGGTTGATAAGAAAGTTTTCATTGACATTGAAAACACTTCAACAGTTAGAAATCTATGAATCGTAATAACTTTTAATTATTGTTGCATCATTGTAACTAATAATTAAAATTTTTATATTGATACTGTACTTTAATTATTTGTATTACCATCATATGATAAAAAAGAAATCATTGAGTGATATTTATCAACAAAAGATATCAGCTAAAATATTTTATATATATATATATTTTTTTTAATATATATATATTTTGAGAACCATTCGGTTTGGAAAAAATGACGTTTTTAATGAAAATTCAACTAGGAAAAATTTCAACATGTATATTTCTCCTGTCTTTTCCATATTTTTCGAATAAATTGTTACTCAATGAAGTTAATAAATCAATGAAATTTAATTTCACTATATAAATTTAATTTTTAGACATTAGGTCATTATTTGAGGTATTAAAACTTAATAAATCGTTATTAATAACTTAATTGTTTTAGTATCCAATCTTCCATCTTTTTTCTTTTTCAACAATTCAGAATACTTTATCATAAATTACAGGAAAATGTAATTCAAATAATACATAAAGATAAAACGTATTATATGTCCTACAACGTAAGGCCGTATGTTAATGAAATTTTATGCTTGGGAACAATTTTTGCAAGGAGTTTGAACATTAAAGAAAATGACGAAGTATTCGTATCTTTCGTAAGGGATGTTCCAGTTTTAACAAAAATTGACGTTACACCTCTCACTACGTCCGACAGAGAAATCTTGGTAGGTTTTATAAAAGTCAAATTAAAACAAGATCTGTCTCTTTGCCTATGAAATCAATGAAATTGCAATATTTTTAGGAAATACAAATGGAAAAGGTACAGTCGACGTTGCTTAATCAAATTCGAGTGGTGGCAGAGAGGCAACCGATTATCGCGTGGGTTTCGAAGCATACGTTCGTAACGTTAATTGTAGGCAAGTATTAAAATTTCCTATTCAATTATTAGCAGTGCGTTTGATTTTTATGAATAAAATTAAAATGCTTATAATTTCAAATCAAGAAATTGTATAGTACAAGAATCCATATCTTAATGTAAATGATTTTATTCACACAAGTAACTTAGGATAATTAAAATTTATTTAATTATCGGTTATCATTGTCAATGACGGAAATTTTCTTACGAATTTTTATGTACTACGAAGTATATGTATAGAAACACTAGAATCGTTTCTTTCTTACAGAATCATTAGAACCATTAACGAAATGCGGGAAACTCGAGCAGTTATCCGAGATCCACATCTCTGACACGGTGGTAAATGAAGAAAGTAGCGAGTCGAACGAAAATCCTAAACAATCTGGTGTTATGAACAATTTGATTTCTGCTTTCAAAAAATTGTTACCAACTGTAAATGATCGAAACTCGCAAATAGACCAAGCAACGAGGAACTATCAACTTCTACAGAGTTTTCGAGATAGAAAAATAACCACGGTGTATCGTGTTCATCCGATGCCTAGCGTAAATGCAGTCAAAGGGAACGAGTTCGACGAGATCGCGCGTTGCCCTTACCATGTGTTCATTTCAAGAAATCAGGCGCCAAAATTCCCGGGCTCAAGCGATTCTGCTATCTGTCGTATAAAAAAGATTCCAGAAGACAAGCAACACGTGAACGTGACGAGCACGAATTTTCTAACGAAAGACGAATCGCCAGTTCCAAAGCTTTCTACAGAATTGATAGTGAAAGTATTTATATTGGAAGACTTTTTAGAGAAATTCTCCGCGTTGGATAGAAACCATTTTAACGTTGATTTTCGTCACAAAAGTATGTATGTGTCGGACAGTTTGAGAATCAGTTTGAGCTTGAAGATAGGTGCGAAAGTGAGTTTGTGCCCGATAGATATGTCCGAGACATCGGAACTGTCTTCCATTGAGTTGTTTTCATGGGAAAACTCGGTGACTATAGAAGATTTCAAGAATTATGTTAAAACCCGTTCTTTTTACAAAGAACTGTTAATCAATACTTGTGCTGTTATTGTTCTGGATAATGGAAATTGTTGTATAGTGAAAATTTCACCGGAGGATTGTAAGTTCGCCATGATCACACAAGACAATTTAAGCGATCTCAGAATACACGTGAGGAATGTGAAAGAGAAAAGTCAACTGAGAATATCTGAACACTTTGATCAAGAATGTCTTTCGTTAGGGATGGCATCTACGAGGTAATGTTCTTTTTTTTTTATATCATAGCTGAGATATCTAATGACGTGATATTTTTTGCAAGTACACACATATACGTAAAGATTATGATTAAAACTCATTATCACGTGAATAATGAGTTTGTTTAATAAACATACTGAAGAACAGAACTTTATCAGAAGTGAATAACTAATGTGACAAAAGTGTATAAATATCTAATTATCGTTGCGAAAAATTTACGTAAGGAAAGCTTTTGCTTTTTCGAGTCAAAAATTCTTTTAAAATATATTCTTTTCAAAAATATTCAACACTTTTTTTTATTTTTGATATTTTTCGTTTACATAAAATACTGCTTGTTTTAGACATTTGAGTAAAATTCTATCAGAGTGTGAACTTGCGTTAGATCTCAGTCTTGGCTTGAAAACGCAATTACCATTCGAATACGAGCCTGAGAATATTTTAATCTCCGGAGTGGTTGGTTCAGGCAAAACTACTGTTTGTAAGATACTTATAGAAAAACTACAAAAGCCACCATATTTTGTGCATACCCACATGATAGATTGTAGATCTTTAAAAGGTAGATAATTTGCAACTAAATTGTGGATGCTTATGCATCTATAAATGAAAAAAGATAATTTAATATTACATCAGTAGTAAGTAGCATTAATTTTTAGGAAAGAAGGCTGAAACGTTACAAAAAATTATTGTGACTGCTCTAACTGAATGTATTTATTATCAGCCTTCGATATTATTTTTGGACGATCTAGAGTCTATCACTAGCGCGTCCATGAATGACGAAGAGAATACTCCAGATGCCATAAACGCTGCCAGGTATTTTTGTTCGATTTATGTTCTTATACGTTTGGGAATAAAATTTAAAGAATTTATTCTTATTATCTAATTTCTTGACATCAGGATCACAGATATGTTGATTAATACAGTGATGCAGTATCAAGAATGTTATCAAGTATCAGTGATTGCTACGTGCGTAAGCGTTAGCAGGATAGGTCAAAAATTAAGACCAGCCAGAGGCTGTCATTTTTTTAGAACTATTTTATCCATTCCTAATCTGGAGAAGGTATTCCATTTTTATTACATTTTATTTTTAAAATAAGTGATTGATTATCGTATAAGAAAGCACAAAGTAAATCTCAAACAATTGTAATCCATAATAAAATTATTTACAAGTATATACACTAATTAGAACTAGATTAAGTAAAATAATGCTTGAAGCGTATACGTGTATACGTAATGAAATATAAAAAATGTAGTATATACGTAAGTTGAAAAATGTCGAATTTTATTTATAAATTAAAATTTTGCGTATTCTTAATATCTGATAAAAATAAAGTAACATTTAAGAAAGGAACATATAGGATGTAGCAGAGTATTAAACTATCAGAAAAACATCGATTCAGATCGTGATCAGCGCCTGTGATATGTTCTATCTGTGTACTCTCTAATTAGGTGGATAGAATCGATATTTTGCAATTAATGCTTGGGGACAAATTGTACGTGCCTGGAGACGTGAATTGGGATTACTATGGAAACAAGACCGAGGGATGGATGGTCCAGGATCTCGTAGATATGGCTGAGAAAGCAGCATTCGCCGCTTGGAAGCGTCATGGTATTCTTACCATTATTAATTTCACTTATAATCAATACTAGATTAAAATATTCTATTACATTATTTTCACTTCTATTCCGCTATTGATTTATCTAGATTCAATCGAATTCTTGATGAATTTTCTCGCATAATGAATTTTCAAAGAAAATAATTAAATTTTATTATTTATTGATTGACTTTTAAATTATTATTATTATTTTTGACTATTTTTGACTATTAAATTATCATTATTTTGTATATTTTAATAATATTTTAATAATAATTAATAATTTGCCTATTGTTCCTACAAATCAATTAAAACTTTATGTCATCAATGTCATTTTCAGTTACAAGTAAATATTTGTAACTTTGATTTTTATACAAAAAGGTACTTCCATGCCTCCAGTCGAAGTGGATGAAAAGGACGTAGCGATTGCCTTGAAAAATTGCACGCCGATATCATTGCAAGGTATACAATTGTATAGAGGCGAGGGTCACGTTTGGTCAGGTATCGGTGGATTAGCGGAAGTGAAAAGATCACTGGTAGAAATTTTACAATGGCCTTTGAAATATCCTGAAATATTCAAGAACGCCCCGATTAAGCTACAGAATGGTGTTTTATTGTATGGTATGCCTGGCACGGGAAAGACGATACTCGCCAAAGCGATTGCTAATGAATGCGGTGTTAATTTAATTAGCGTTAAAGTACAAACATATTTTCTATTTTTGCTTTCATTCAACTTAATAGTTTGATTCTTACGTATATAAATGTTTATTTCAGGGACCAGAATTATTGTCAAAATATATTGGTGTTAGCGAGGAATCTGTTAGAAACGTATTCGAGAGGTAAGAAAACATTTCGGCAATTTTCTAATGTTAAAGAATATTTCAAGTTCAAAAACGAAACATGAAATACGAAAGTTCAAGCGTTACATAAGATTAATGAGTTAAATTAAAATTTACAGGGCTCTTCGTGCTAAGCCGTGTGTTCTGTTTTTCGACGAATTCGATAGTCTTGCTCCAAGGTAAGATTGTCGTCAGGTAATAATATATATAAGATTATCGATTTATTTGGTAATAAAATAAATTATAGTTTTAAAATTGCTATATATTTAACATCTAACTTATTTAAGACGAGGTCACGATAGTACTGGAGTCACAGACAGAGTAGTAAACCAATTGTTAACACAAATGGATGGAGTTGAAGACAGAGAAGGTGTTGCGGTCGTGGCAGCGTCTTCAAGGCCGGATTTATTGGATCCAGCACTACTGAGACCTGGACGTCTCGACAAAACGTTATATTGTCCGCTTCCAGATGAGGTATGTAGCTCTTAATCTCGCTATTATAACTCGAAATAAAAGCAAGAAATTCTAATAAATGCTATTTCTATCTAAAAAATTCTATTTTCATAATTCAAAATAAATTTATAGTACTTTAAGTTTGTAAGTTTATGATACGAATGCCATATAAATAAAATTATATGTTGATTTATATAGGCGGACAGGGAAGAAATCTTAATCGCTCTATGTAAAACACAGAACATAGATACGATGGAATTAGATTTAAAAGAGTTAGCAACGCTTTCTTCAGGATTTACCGGTGCGGATTTAAATGCTGCGGTGACACAAGCTAGGCTAGCAGCGTTCGAGGATGCTGTTGCGAATGCTTCTGTAAGTAATCACTTTCAATAAGATTTTAACGACACGATATATTAGACAACGAACCTCTGGTACGCTTTAAATTGCTCGATTAAGGAGTTAAGGGAGTCACTCAACTTGATCACCCAAAACAATGTTTAAGTAACAAAAATGAATTCTACATACTGTGAACCAAAGAACAGGTTCGCCTGTTCCTAACGATCGCGTCGTTTTGTTACACAGCCCGTTGTATCTCTCCTCTTGTAATAATGAAACGCATTTTAGCGCGACTCCGGCCGAGAATCATTTGTAGGGAGCTTCCGAAGTAAGATAGTGCGTAATGATGATAATATCGTTAGATGTATACTCCTCTGCCACCTCTCTCCTCTTGTGTCCTATGTATATAGAGTGTCGAGCTGGCTAGGTGGGTAGGTATGGTGCGATATAACTGAGGAAACGTAGACCAGGTTTATTAGCGCACGCTGCCGAGAGCACCAGCCATCCCCCATCTCGCTCCACTTCATCCTGGCCTACGCCTCGCTGAACGTCGAGGGGGTTATTATCTTATGCGTTATAATGATACACGGTTTAGGGCCTGCAGCGGTCCTGTAAAATCGAAAGGCAGACGCCCGTCCCCCTCGCAGTTACCAGAAGTTTGGATCTTGTAATCAAACTACGAAATCATTTTCTTCGATGCTATATTAGGTGCACAATGATCTATAAGAGTATTTGTATACTTGTACATTCGTAGAATATATTCATTGCTATTATTAGTTAATTATAAAATAAAACAGCCATTTAATTCCATTTAAAAAATGGACCTTCCAATCTTCCTCGTTATTTCAATTAGAAAGTTTGTTCCACACCCGTACACCTACTTCAAGAAAATTATACTTTCATTAACATTCGTACATAGTTAATACCAAAATTCGAATCTCACTCATGATAATGTAAACTTGAAGAAGTAAAATTATATCGTCTAATATCTATTCGCGTTTCACAATCAACGTGTGCAAGGTATGGATGTCGAGTGTGTGATAGGGCGAAAGGGGTAGGACCATTAATTAACTTCCTACGGAGAAAACGAAGTTATGCCGGTACTTACCTACCGGAAGAACACGAATATCCAAACTGTACGTCTAATTAGCGAGCGAGTTTCCTGAGCGCGACGCGTTTCGAGAGGAACGCGTCTTACTGATAAGCGATACCGTCTATAGGCAGACTTACAGGCTGTTTCTCGCTTAGCCTACCAATTAATAGCCTTGTCTTCTCACCTTGATTTCAGGACGGAAAGATCGAGGCCGAGGACATTAAGGTTTCTCAGACGCATTTAATCGACTCCATGAAGTCTACCCACCCTTCTCTATCGCGTCTCGAAAAAAAGAAATATAAAAGCATGTGGGTATTTTCTTGAAACGACTCGTACGTTTCAGGCAATTATTCGAAATTATGCAAAACCTGATTTTTAGATTTGAAACTCTGTGAGATCTCGAAACTCTGGAAACCAGGTTTATACGGTTACGAAATAAAATCTTTTTTTTTTTTTTTGGAAAATGAGTTTTCTGGATTCAAGAATTCGAAATTTTTTTAAGTTTTAGTTTAAAAGTTTTTAGATTTCGATTGTACTAATCAACTTTTCAATATTCTTTTGCAGTTACGCCAAATTTGCGAAGAACGACAATTTCGTGGAAGATATATTGAACAATCAGAAAGCTACTTTGGCATGAACATCGGAGGCATGAGGATCAAAGCAGTCAAAAATCATATTCACTGTGTAATTTTGTCTTTTGATACAGGAATTAAAGATAAGTATACTTATTTTCTTATATAAAAACTCCTCTTTTAACATAATTAATGTAAATTGACAATAAGCTGGTATCAATGTCTTTTCATCTCTATAACATATAATATTATATTGTAAATAAAAAATACGAACGAAGACGAGCCAATGACATGATCGAATTCGCTGCCAGACTGTGACAGACCGTGCTCGAACTATTCTGGCGATCCGAAATCATGCGACGGAAAGAAGAACGCGTTCTAACTTTCGTTTTATCGCGTATATACCGTTCTGCAGATCCGCGAAGCCGTTCGCGTAGACGAGGGGGGGCCCAGTTTTCCTCGTTTAGCCGAGCATAAGCGTAATCCGGATGCCTGCGTCTCTCAAGAAATTCAGCCTCCGACGTCGTTCCACGCCATGCTGAAGCTTAACAGCACGGGCACAGCGCGCCATGGAACTTTTCGTATTAATAATCGGTATAATAATTAGTATTTTCATGCGCGACTTAGCAGGAAGGACGTGGCCGTATGTAAGACAGAGAACGAGTTTCAGAAGTGAAACAGAGTAAGAAAGAGAGAGATGGATGGATACATAGATGTTGTGTGTATGTGTGTGTGTTAGAGAAAGAGAGAGAGAGAGAGTGGGAACGAAGCTCTGAGAACTTCGGTGGATCTTGATTTTAAGTTCAGGCGAAGGAGGCGCATATTTCACCGCGCTAATGTCCCGCCAGATAAACTACAATATTAGCTGCCTTCGCCCGTGATTTAATTTAACTTTGCCCCGGCGCGACATCCGCCTCTAGCTTTCAGCTGCATGCTACTTCAGCTTGGTTAACCAGCATCCAACCCAACCCTCCCTATGTCGACATGTGTTTATAGTTTTCGGGGCTGGGATAAGCGGATTCCAAAGAAATTACCTGCTTGTTGAAATAACGTTGATTCTTTTTTTCACTACAGCGTTTCGATGGTACCTTTTAACGGTTAATTTTATTGGAGGAAAAGTGGGAATAATACGAGGATTGTCAGGTGTTTTATTGAATCACGATATCGCACATATATTTCAAAAGTGGCGCAATTTTAAATAAATTTAGCTATTTGCAAGGTTAAAAATCATTTCGAAATAATGGATTCAAAAGTAGAGTCAATGAAATGTTGATTTTCTATTGATGTTCCCCTTCTTTGATTTTTTTTCTGACATAAAATTGAATCAATCACTTATAAATTTTACATACAAGACGCCGACTAAAATATTTGGATAGTAAGAATCGACAGTACATTACGAGAATTTATTCTGCTATTTGTCTTTCATTGCCGCTACTGCTATACTTAAATAACAAAATTAAAAAGCCATGCGTCTCAGTTAAAGTCCGAGTGAAAAGCGTTGCCGGTGGTGAGTTTTCCACGGCCATCAGAGACCATTACGCAACACAGAGAGCCAGTGAACACGGAGGCAAACAAACTTGCACTCGCGATTATTCCGCGAAGAATTAGGATGGCATTCAGTCCTCTTGGAAATCATGGCGGCATTGTCGGCGTGTCCTTCGAACTGGCTGGATGTCCCTACGTTTTCCATAGCTTTTCTCGCCTTCTTCGTAACGTCTTCTTCGCTTCAAGACGCCCTCGTCGCCAATGAAAAGTAAAGGAAAAGGAAGGCAGAGAAAGAGGGAAAGAGAGAAAGAGAAAGAAAGAGAGAGAGATAGAGAGAGAGAGAGAGAGAGTCAAGTTTTCGAATGTCAAGGTAACGAGATTAGCACGACGAGAAACGGTAATCAGGAATAAAAATGCTACGACCGACGGCATTTACGCTAACTAATCTCCTTCAGGAGGCGAGGAGGCGCTAACGGAGTTAGGACCAGTCAGCCTCCGCATTTCCAAGGGGTTTTCGTCGCTCGGCCGGCTTGTTAGCCGGATAATTGGCCATTTTTATGCTAAGCAGACCCGCGGTTGTTACGCTACCTCGCATTCTCGTTTCCGCTTTTCTTCTAGTCGCTCTTACCTCCGATTGATCGTTCAAACGGAGGTATTGTCTTCCCGTCGCTTGGACAGATTTTTTTTTTTAAGTAGTTGGAATTTTAAAATGGGAAATAGCGTGTCTCGCATGAATCGGGATATTTTTTAAATAGACTTCTGTGGGAGTAACAGTGCATTTATCAGGGGTATGTAATTAATCGATTGCACGGACGTTTATGGCACGTAAAATATGCATATGTTAATCAGTTAACACGGATATATGCTCGGAAGCCGGAAGGCAAAAGGAAATAAATAAATAATAAAAATTAATTCTCTTCTAAACAGCCTTTTGACAAAAAAAGAAGAAAAAAGGAATTCTCTGTCTCTTACAGTCTTTTGACAAAAAAAAAAAAAAAAAAGAAGAAAGAGGAAATTCTACTAAAGAAAAACACGAAAGACAAGAAGAATGTCTTTTTTGCTAACAAATCAATGACATTTTCAGGAAAGATCGTTCCTCTACGAAGCTCGTAAACTTCCGACCTATTATCCAGAATCGTTTTTAAAAAGAAAATTCATTTTTGGATCGGTCGTACATTTCGATTCACGTGCTCCTTTATAGCATCGGTCTCCTTTCTCTCTATCTCGCGGTCGCTACAAGATAAGGCTGCAACGGCGGTCTGTGCCGCGGTAAGGCGATTACCGAATCGCGGAAATACATTTCCCTGGTCAAAGTACTAGCGCACCTTTGTGGTGGAAGTCGCAACGAAAAGGAAGAGACTAACGGTCCTTCAACTGTACCGATTGTTCCCGTTCTATAAAGCGAAATTGGACCGAAACGAAAACGTATTCGTAAACGGGGAATTTTATTTTTATACCGATGTTCACCATCATTTTGAAAATATCTGGACTATAGTTTGACAAATTTCGAATTGTTTTAATTAAATATTTCTATTCTAGTTTAGTTTAGATATGTGTATATTGCAAGAAAGAAATAATCAGTCGTACCTTGATTTTGATTTACTATAATTGGCTGATTAATTAATCAATTAATTTTATTTCAGTTTGATACTTTAATTCCATTTAAAATTATTTAATTCATGAAACGTTGAATTTACGAAATGAAATATTATCCTCTTCAACACTTTTAACTTCTATCTTTCGTGATTTAAGTATTAATCTCGTGTCATTCAAATTGTATATTTGATTTTATAGTTAAACAAGTGTTTCTTTGTATCTTTAAATTTCGTGTAACTTCATCAAAATCTAGAGTCTAATAGATCCTATGCGCATTTCAATTTTCTATAAATATATGTGTGAATATTCTCGGTGTAAAAATAACAAGCATAATAATCATCGTCAGATGATGAAAGCTCTGTTTCGACGAAATGTTATCCCCCATCTCCGTTTGTGATAGAATTTCGAAATTAAAGGAATCCATGCAGAGAAGATTGGAATTTCGCGTCACGGTTGGCCCTCGAGTGCACAGACGAATCACATTCGCGGCTGTGATATGAAACAATTTCGCGGCTACGGTTCGATCCCGAAAATTACAGCGGCCAACACACAGCTGGAGGCTGAACTAGATGTAGGCGCCATTGCCGCCAAAAAAAAAAAAGAAGAAAAAAAAAACAGGATGGAAATGCAGAACAAGGAGGCAAAATCCATCTAGTGATTTCACAGGCAATTATGCCGTGGCGGCGTGTTCGCTGGGTTACTCTTATTTAACGCCAATGTGCGCCGAGAGCACGCCTCAACGCCCTTGCACCGCGATCCCATTTGCGCGAAATTGTCAATGATAGAATGGCAGATTGAAAACTCGACATTCAGCGTAGCCCCTTTCCCGTCGTGTTCTTGCCTTTTTCTAAACTTGCCACCGTTTTCTCCTTCACGCCATTTCCTTCTGCACGCCGTGTCGTTATTTGGATTATTCTTTCATTTGCAGTTTGGAGATTTTGCGGAGTTCAGTTCTAATCTCTAGATGTACGGTAGTTATTGTTATATTATGTAATTATTTAGTAGTGCATAATTACTTAAGAATAATTGATTATTATTAATTTAGCGGTGTTCATAATGATAATAATGTAATAATAAAGTAGTTAGTGGTAGAAAAATTCTAAGAAAAGTTCGGCAACAAAAATGCTATTTTATATCTAACAAGAAAATTTGGAACTTTTGGCACAAGTGTAGTTCATACGATGCTTATAACGAAACAATTCCTTTTTTCCTGCTGAAAAACGGTCCTAGGAGTGAGAACACCCCCTCAAAGAAATCTTGAGCGTGACTTCAAATATTTACGAAACTATATTAGATACAGAAAAGAAATTAAATTAAAGATTAACAATTTATAGTTAACAAGGAAAAGAATAGCTTGTATAGCAGTATAGTTAGGAGAATTATCAAGTTGTTTTATTATTCGAACAATTCTTACGAATGAAATTCGTATGTGACAGTAAGATAAAGTGAAAATTGGTGAAATAATGTAAAGTCTGTGCTTAAAGTACAAACACGGGAGATTCCGTTGATAGTGTGAAATCGTCGGAACGTTATACACGAGAGAGTTTCTCTAATAAATTGCACTTGAAACGTAGCCGATCCCTCGAAAGTGTCACCGATATCTCTTGGTGTCGATTGAATCGAATGAAAAGAAAGCAACGATAACTCGATTATCAGAGACCCAGATAAATAGACGGTGGCCAATGCGCTTTTACCAGGAACGAGTGCTATCCACTCGAACGTCGTCCAATGTCCGGCAGTTGCATTGCATGAGTGTCTACGGTTTCCGTTTCTATTGTTACCGACGTTTTATCACGTTAAAACACTTCTACTGTCTCACTGAAATTGCGATTGAATTATTTCTGCTCATTTATATTTCGGAGTAAATTTATTTCTGAAGATTATTTTCGTTGAATTCGTGTATAATCTAGTTATAAATAACGGCTAGAAAACGATAAATAAAACTAGGAAATAAGTCCTTAATAATAAATATAAATTCGTTTTTAAATTTAAATAATTGACTATTGATCATCAGCCAGTACTTGAAGTTGTTATGATCTATTATCTTTACGTACGAATATTTCTACAGTAAAAGC